TTACTTACTTTCTCGAACTATATTTGAATTTCCCGCTTTTTGGCCCAAAGGCGGTGCCTATTTCTTATCTATGTTACCTACGCTGCTTATACATTGCTTAAATGGGAAAAGTNGGGGGAACTAGCAGTCCATACTTATATAGTCAAAGTTTGGAACATACCCCAGAAGCACGACCGCTCAGTGAGCAGCTAAGTAGCAATCGACTGTGATTGGCTCTTATTTTAATCTAAACCAATCACAGTCGATTGCTACTTAGCAGCTTACTGAGCGGTCGTGCTTCTGAATGTACCCACTGCTCTAACCGCTACCTTAAGGCCATTCTACATAAGATGCAGACGCAGGTCGCAGCTGCTGATCTCGCGGAATTGACCATTCACGTTTGTCAAATCAGCTAATCGACTTACGTGATTGGTACGCGGTGCGCACACGGACGACGATTCTTGCTTGTGTGCGTGCCCCACCGCTTCAATACTCTCGTTGCAGCGGGCTCGATCTTTCATCAATGGTGCAGACTGCAGACTCGGTTTTTCTCAGTCTTCTCTCTACTTGTACTCTCGTGTGCTTGTGCTTACATGTGACAGAGTTGGATTGAAGAGAGAGATAATTCAATTGTAAAAGTAATTTCTGATTAAACAATGGGTATCGTGCGGTTAGTACATTCGCTGAAGAGTATAGAACACAGACAGTTATGGTATTTGCACGCTACATTTTTTTTGTAAAATTAAATGGAGTCACGAGGAGAGGTTATTTCTGCAGGTTTGTTGCCAAGACTACTTTTGTAGGAAGTATTGTTTATTATACTGTTGAACAAGGTCTGTGGTCAAAGCCTGAAGACAGTGTACACTTGTATGCTAAAATCTATAATAATATAGCACCTTACATCAAGAACAATATACCCAAAGAAGTGTTGAACGAGGTAGATGGTTTTGTTTTAGTAAAATATTTAGCACATAGGTTTTTATGATACATTTTTAAACTCTATACATTTGTATATAATGAAAACAATACTCAGTAAGATAAAGTAATGAAGAGTGACCTAAAAAGTATATTATTTTGCATTAAAATCTGTTTATTCTTACAAGTTTTATTTGAATTCTTAGTTTAATTTATATAATTTTAGCAGTATGCTTTTTTAGTACTTTATTATTGATTTGTCTATAAAACAGAATTGTTAATTAAATTCTCATATAGTTACCACCACTGCCAAGTACCAGTGATTTATCCAATTCAGTCAAGTCATCATGGAATAAGGGAGTTATTGCAAGCATGAAATTTCTGTCTGAGACTCCAACCTATTTGTCTAATGGTATGCAGAATCTTACAAACTTTGTACAAGATTACATAAAAATGCAAAGTGCATCTGAGAAAAGTCAGTAGTGATTTCTAATTCTATTTTGTGAATTTTAGAATATACATATTGTCATGAAATATCATTAAACTGTTATTAGTTCTACTTCTGCTGTTAATTTATATATCTATATACTGTTAAGTAACTTATATTAGTTTTTTAATTAATTTATAACATGTCTAATAAATATTTTACTTAGAATAATCAAATCATACAATTTTTGTTTAAAAACGCTAATTATTATCAACATATCCAATTTAATTCAAAACGTGATTAATATTGAACATATAAAACTTACTACTTTTTTTCATTTTTTATTTCATGTAACTTATTAAATAATTAAAACTTTGTGAGCTTTTCTAGAGATATGGATATTTATTTCTTTAAACATGTAGTACAAATTATTGCCAGTTATCAATTTTGTTCAACAATTATAAAACAAAGTATTTCAATTATTTGAATCTAGAACTATATATATGAATTAAAACAGAAAACTGAAAAATTCTACAATGTTAAAAACACAAATGATTAAAAACAAAGCTTCTATTACTGGTCCCAAAAATAGTGATTGTATAATATAATCATGTATTATCTTATAGAACATTACACTACAATTATATCACAATATTGTGTAATACATTGTAATGATGTAATTACAGCAATTTTATTATATCTCATGTAAAAAAAAGACGTGTGATACGAGGTAAAGATATATTCGCGAAAGATCGTTAAATGCCGATACAGGAATCTCGTGGCGTAAAAAATAAACTTTCTTGTGTTGCTTTTAACAACAATATAGTAATCTCTTATAATTATTATGATTAACTTCGTATATGAAATCAAGTTTCTTAATCCTTCAATCGATAGTCATGCGAGTTCTGCTTGATTCTTGTCCTCAGAAGAGAATCAAACTTGTTAATATTTTCGAATTGTTTTACAAATTTCCATATGTCCAAATGTCTCAGAAATTTAAAAATTTTAGCAGAATTATTTTTTTTCTCGTTAAACATCAAATCTCGATCTTCTATCGATTAAAGAATGAAAAATCGAGCGGCATTATCCGCGCGAAATTCCAATCTCTTCAATTATTTCCCATAAAAATTTTTTTAAGTACGCTTAATATACACAAAATATATATACATATATATATGTGTGTGTGTGTGTATATATATATATATATATGTATGTGTATATATGTACATATATATACCTATTTCCCAATATAGTTATAATTATATTCTTTCTTGTAAAATATCAACGGATGACTTTGTGGATTGAAATCTATCAGCTCGGTCTATGATATGCAGCTTACTTCCTTGGTTGCTGAATAACAATAGGACGTGAACAATGGGCCGGTCGTGCGTCGTGCGTCGGTGTGGGCTTCTCGTGAAAATGTTGCACAGCTTCCGGTGGAAAATCAGCGTTTCCTTTGGCTGGAGCACCGCTGATCATTATCGTCTTTGGCGGACTGTAAACGTCAGAAATTTTTTATCGCTACGTTTGTACGGCTTCAGATATGATAATGTCGAGACATTGACGCTTTATATCTAGCTTCTGGCAACACTTGAATCCACATAATTGACGTTAATTGGATAACTGATAAGTATAGAACATTAATTAGAATTAATGTTTTATAGATGTGTATTTTTAATGTTATGTGTGTGAATCACTGAATTAGAAATTAGACACTTGAAAAAATTTGTGTATACTATAAGTTGCATCTTTTTGTGCAAAACTTAAAGAAAAACATTTGCTTTTTATTATATAATTATAAAAATTTTTCGCGACATGATTTTTAAAGATATTTTGTGACTTATTCTTACTAATAATTCTTCTATAATATAAATGCAGAGTGATTCTTTCTGTGCAAATGTTTTTTCAGATGTAATCCATGTTATTTTTGATTGCACAATATTGTGTTATGTAAATTTATAAAACGCTGATAATTTTACTTATCATCGAATTAAACATTAAACAGAAATGGTTAATTAAAAAAGTCATTATAATTCATTGATTAATTATTTTGTCTTTTGCAATGTTTTTTTTTTTTTTTTTTTTTATCTTTTTTATCTAACATATTTTTAAAGATAACGCACGCTGGGTTATAATACGCTAGCAGGACTGTGTCTTAAAATTTATCTACTTACTGTATTAAAAATCTGTATATTAAAAATCTTCACCATATGTTGTACATTTTCAGTAGTCAGTAATAGATACCAGATTGCTATCGACCGATCTTACATATTAGATCAGAAAACTCAGATGTTAATTCAATAGAAACAATTCTCGAAGTAAATCAAATCTTTTCGTCGTGTTTGCTATTTATTCTCGTACTTGAATCCGACCCTGTATGCAAGTCATCACCACCGTTTGCGAGCAGCTGTTGCGTCGGGATCCCTTTTTTTTTTAAAAGGGGATTACAAACCACAGCTAATTATCAAGTTTATGCTGAAGGACGAGTGTTTTGATACATCAGACCGATATATACGTAATAAACGCCGATCAAAATCACGATTGTATTTACTATCTTACATACCTGCTAGACGGCTTACTTTCTTCGACGTCCTTGCTAGACTTGGTCTCGCGCTCGTCTTTTGGCGTTTTATGCTGCGTTATTCTCATACCTCCTGCCTTCACTGAAAATAGTCAAAATCTCTTTTAATACCGCGCGAGAAACGCGGTGCGATATTAAGAGAGATCGCTCGAACAAAAGATTGGCCTTGAATCATATCGCGATCGCAACACGCGAAATTTAACCTTTTACATGTTTTTTTTCATAGCGGTTAGAAAAATGCTAACCTGCCGGAGGATGTCCACCCTTCAGCTTGCACTCGTCCATTCCGCTCGACATTTCGTTGTTTCGTCGCGTTGATCAAAACGTCCACAATCAATTACAGTTTTTGCCGCAATATGCTACTGCCTGCCGCTCTCGATTGCAACACATATGCGCACTGTTCTCTTTCTCTCTCCTCATCTATCTACCTATCTTTCTCACTCTTTCAAATCCGATGGCACTCACAGTCTTCGTTACACTTCGTTATATCGCGTTTCTGAATGCAAAGAGAGGGGACTACTACGCGTCGGTTGTACCTTTTTTTTATTTTGAGTACTATCTCACACTTTGGTTTTTTCTCTTTTTCTTCATTATTTATTCATTTTTTTTTAATACTATTGTAACTATAACTGAAAAAAATGTGTTACTTAATTCAATATTAATTTACATTTTGTAAGATATTTAAAAGAATACAATCTTCAAATAATTATCTTTTCAATATGCGCCTGCTTCTATATAAAATTCTAGAAATAAATAAACATTAAAGATTGGACAGACCTAAGGCTATCCATATTTGAAGAGAATGTACAATAAAATGATGAAAATGTTTGTAACTTGATACAATAATTTACTTGATACAATAAAATGATAGAAATGTTTGTAACTTGATACAATAATTTATTAAAAATTACACAGATGGAAATAATCTTGTTTTATTTTATAAACAAATACCATGTGTAAAATATATAAACTAATCTAAGAAGATGTTTGCGATTGAGAATTTTTTTCATTTTGGTATGCATAATGCAAATCTTTAGAATCTTCATCCGAGATATGCACCCAGCCAGTCGACTTCATATGGTATACTGTGAAACAAAAAGATATATTTAGACTTATTAGACTTATTAGAGAGTTATAAAATATTTATCTTGTTAGTTAACAACTGACCTCTTATGATACCGCCAGAATAGGCATCTCTATGTGTAGCATGGTAAATCGATCTTCTGCCCAGTTCATAAGCTTGCTCATCAGTTAGGTCCCATTTATATCCAGAATCCAATACACCAAATGCAAACACAGACCCAGATCCTACACTGAAAACTTTTCCTGGCACGCGAGTGCCTTCCGAATCCACATAATAAAGTCCAGGACCTCGTTTATCCCAACCAGCCAGCATCATACCTATAGATTAAATTTAGATACTTTTTCTATTCTTAAGATACTTTTTCTATTTAAAAATCAGTTTTCAAGTTTGAAGTATTCTATATCTACCAATACTTAGTCCCATTCCTTTGTAATTATAAATCATATTAGATAAGAGCTTGCTTGCTGCTGCAATAGAAATACGCTCTCTATTTCTAAGTTCATATAAGCGGCATTGTTTTGCCAAAATACGATCCCAGTAGACACAATCAGCAGCACCACCTGCCAAAGTGCCGAGAAGATAGTCATTGATTTCTACTATTTTTTTCATGGTAGATGAACCTATAGAAAAAGAAGATCAATTATTTAGTTATCATAAACATATAATTTATTAGCTAAACTAATATGCAATACACTTCTTTCTTTACCAATAAATTGTCCTCCAGTTGCACGTGAATCCACTGCCAATATGATACCACCTTGGTATTGGAAACCCAAAGTTGTAGTTCCATGATCAAACTTGAGCTTTAAATGTTTTCCGCTTTCATCAGTACCTTGAGCAATACATCCAAGAGTTTCAGCTGGCTGAAAGTAAATAAATATATGTATAACAATATAAGAGTTAAATTATTTATCTCTTAAATAAGAAAGTTTTATTAATGTTCTTTCTTGCAGCTTTGTTGTAATACATAATGTACGTAAACTCACTCTCTCTTTTTCTTTCTGCATGATAGTGCATATTTAGATATCATGGTCATATACTCACATTTATGAATGGTGGCACTGCCAATTGAAGATTATTAGTGAAATTTTTAGTGTACGTTTCGATTTCGTTGGCGATCTTGTTTTTTTCGAGTGAATATCCAAAATCAACAAAGGAGTTGATACCACTTACTTCAGCGAGCGCCATTTTTACACGAATATTAGTCTCACTTCACCAAGTACTGTATTAATCATCGACTGCTTGTCATTGGCTTAGTTCCGTCTCGTTTCGATAGAGGGTATTTGTGTAGTCTTTGCACCTTGCACTTAAAGGTCTTTACACACAACGTGCCGTAGCCATACTGAGATACGTTCCAAAATCCTACCTTGGTTACTAAAATGCTATATTTTGCGTCACGTGTACTATAGTTTTCGGTTATCAAAGTAAGATTTTGGAACGTACTCCTAAAGAGCCGTCTACAATGGAGAGTTGTAGGCCGTAATAGTAAGAAATTGACAAATCACAATCGATTATTCTTCTGTACTTTGCCTGTGATTGGTCAATTTCTTACTATTACGGCCTACAACTCTCCATTGTAGACGGCTCTTAAGACTGCCATTTTCAAATATAAATGATTATAATTGGTCAATTCTTACAATATATTTTACGTTACGGCTACGGCAATCAGTGTGTGAATACTTTTAGGATGCGTTTTGGTTTCTGCGTACAGAACGAGCCATCTGTAATTTTAAATTTCTTGAATTTTTAACGAGTACTATTATTTGTTCATAAAGAATTTTTTCCAGATTTTTAACGTAAAAGTATTAAAAATATTTGATTCCTCGGATGAAGATAAATTTGTATCGGTATTTTTGAAAAAAAAATTGTTTAATATCACGCTGCAAAAATTACGTAGAATCAGTTATTTCCAGATAATGAATTCAAAAAGTGTTTTCTCATTTTATTTATATCTATTGTACACATCAGAAACACATAATATACGCACATAATATATATAAAATAGAGAATATTTTTAAAAACTATAGATTGGATGCACAGCAAAGCACATAAAGTCTATATATATATTTGTAACACATTTTATTTAAATTACAAATAATAAAAATAATAAATAATATTTGTTAGTTTTTTTTTACTTTAAATTTTCTTATATAATTAATTTATTTTAATTTAATTCTAATTTAAAATAATTCTCTTACTTTCTCAAGTTCTTGTTTCAAAAAGTACTAGTTTTATTTTACATAACTATAGATGATATTAATTATTACCATTTAATAAAACCATTTTGATTTATCACGAAAGAAGACTCGAAAGAACTTTGTTTATTAAAAACAAATAACCACTACATTTCAACAATACGTGCGAAGCGAAAAAACAGTGTTAAAAAAACTCTCTCTCTCTCCCTCTCTCGCCTATCGGTGTGTGTGTATAGCTACATCAAAAAAGATAATAACCATTCAATAACGCTGTATTAATTAAATATGAAAGTTGAGTATAAAGCTTTAAAGAGATTTTTTTTTAGAAACGCAAAAATTTGTGAGCTTAAGAAAGTGATTATAATAAGGATCTAAAAGATTTATCGCTCTGTCGTAATAGCACACAACCATAAGATTTCTATATTATTATTAATTATTTCTTCTAATTTCTTCTTCTTCTAATTTCTATATTATTATTAATTCTATATTATTATTATTTATTTCTATATTATTATTAATAACAACATAACATATATATCTTGAGTATGCCTAAAACGTCAAGAGTGTTTGACTTGAATACCAAACTATACAGCCGATTCTTTTTCGAGGACCATCCATGACGATCGTCGTTTGTTAAATTTGTCGCTCAAGCGCGGCCCTGCGAACCAGAGCCAAACATCATTCGTGCAGTCACATTTCCCTCATTGATATTCTATGAAGAAGCTCGACAGGGTCATTGTGGAGAAATCACAAAAGAACAGTGCAGATATAAGATACGTTCACCTTGACTCACTACTTGAAGTGGTCTATAAAAGAAGACGCAGCTCACGATTCGATCAAACCATATGAAAATGTCTCGTGCAATCGTTGTCGCTTTTGCGATCCTGGCGCTCTTGCAAGCGGCCTCTGCTAATTCTGATATATCTAAAGTTAAGAACATTCAGATCGATTTAACGGAAAAAGATATCGTGCCAAAAACAACGTTGGTAAGTTCGTTCAAAAAATGATTGCTAAATATTTTGCAACGCGTCAAAATTGAATAAAAACATTGAAAAGAGGATTTTATTTAAGTTTTTTTTATATATTAATTAATTTATTTATTTAATAGGTTTTATTTTTTGTACGTCTTGTGCATAACGGTTGCTATTATGATAAATTTGCCACCTTATATATGTAGAGTATGTTGCACTGTGTGAAGTTTCGAACAAGTCTTATAACTGTTTAATTTTTAATTTTTATATGCGTAAATGTTACTCTATTTACTAATTTTTTCTTCTTTTTTTCTTTAATTTATATTTTTGGATACAAACATATAATTTATATTTCAATATTGTATACAGGAAATTTTGTAATTTCGTTGTGAAGATGATCCCATTCAGAGATCGAAACGTTAAGTTTTAGAATAATCACAAACGATTGCACACGAACATCTCTGTGTTGAAGACTCATATTGACTTTATCTTTTTAGAATTTAAAAAAATTCAGAATCTACATTTCTTCACACCATCATAAATGACATTAAAAACAGGTTTTTTTACTAAATTTAGAAAAATCTAGAATCTAACACGTTCACTGGTGGATTCATTGGAAATATTGAAATTGGACAACGATTTCCTGACGAGGTAGTTTTGCGTAGAGTTATCGAGTTTGAAAACCCAACCAATAATGTTCAATCAACAACTATAACACTGACGGCCAATAGAGGTAAGATGACATTTCTATACATGAAAATTTATAATTTATTATTAAATATTATATTTACTTTTTAAATAAATTCTTAATTAATTCTCTTAATTAAGAGTGCGATCAAAGTCCCAAATGTTTTGAAGCATTATTCTATTTTTATTTCTCGTTAAATGTAGAATGATGCTTCGATACTTTTGCGCAGTGAGGCTTTGTCCGCACCTTAAGTATTACACTTATAATAAAATTTTAATAAAGGTCTTAATTGAGCTGTTTTTTTTTTCATTGTTTTTGTCTGTGCAGGTATTATTCATTACGTTAGAATACTAAATGATCCTGGCAGCTACGCAGTGATATGCGACGAGCCGAACAGCTTGGGATCATCCAGAGGCAATTTTAATATTCGCGTTTCTCCTCGTACTAAATCCACTCTCACAGTAATAGCAGCGGCACATAACGTGTAAACAAATTAACAGTGTATGCAGAAAATATTATATTCTCTTTTTTTGTAAAAGTTTGTCAACTGTGATAAGAAACTATTTTCAATGTATTCTTATTTTGCATGAAAATAAAGATTTAATCGAAATCAATAACGATATCGTTATCCTTGTAGTTGTCACCACAAATATATTATACGAGAAAACAGACAGTATAAAATATTTTTGCGTTTTGCAGCAAACGATCCACGAACCATATACAATCGGACGCCGAAACACTCCACACTCTCCATTAAACCTGTTTAGTAGTGCGTCAGCGTACTTTTGTTTTCAAATCTCTTTCCTTGTTTATTTAGTATGCAAAACAGATACCTATCTGGCTTGCGGAGAGCTAACTTCTTTTTTCTTGTTTTTTTTTCTTTTTCAAGTTTAAGAGAATTCTTTGCTTCTCATTGTTAGTTATCTAGAAGTCGATCGTAAAACCTTATCCTTCAAGTATAGAAAGATAAACAATATTATTCCATTTAAAATGTTCTAAAAACAAAAATTATTATTGTATTTATAATTGTTTTCTTTTAATGTCTACTGTTTGATTTGAAGTCACATTACTAATAAGAAAACATAAAAGTTGTGCTATATAAGAGTATATCTATGCGTAGACACGTGAAGTTTTGAAAATGTACGCAACTTTAAAGTTGCACAATTCTGTCTATACTTGAATCATTTTTATTGAAAACGTTCTTTTTTGTTCTTCTTTGCTGTAATGGCTCTTGCCCCGGTGAGGAAGGAGCATACGCCAGTCTTCGATTTATTATTATTACTAGTTATGTACTTGTTTAGATTAGAGACTATGATGATAATAAAGAAAGTGGTGTAAAAACACCTAAAATTGTCCAAAAATATTCACAGTAGAATTACGCACATCCAACCAACATAGCTGATGCAACGCGACTTTTTATTGAAAACGTGAAATCAATTACCATAAACAAAATGATTACACTGATTATATCACAATTTATATCAAACCTTTTGAAATATAAAGCATCAATAAAATATAAACAAAGCTATGGATTCTGACGTGTTCTAAAGTTAATTTTCTTTTTTCTTAAATTTTACTTTATTATAGCAAAAATCATTTGTTTCAGTTACTCAAAATGTCAACAAACCACATGTCTATCTTGACAGACTACATGTCTCAATTGTTTCTTTTATACTATGATCTTCTAAAATTATATCTTAAAGTTTATATTTTATTGATTTGTTATCAATCACTTCAATCATGGAGACAAACAACATAGATAACTAATATTTTTTTAAAATGTTATGTGAAATACATTATTATAGTATATTATATTTCCTTAAGTATAAAAACTATTTTTTATTTTTGTTTTTTTCAAGTAATAAATTTCCTTTTGGTTTTAATTTATTATCAAGGATTTGTTGTCTATTTTGTTTTCTTTCTTCTAATAAATTAGCATGTCTTTCAACAGCATAATCCACTTCTTCTACTAATTGGATAATTTTTGCCTGTGAAAATTAATATATTAACAAATACTACGTAAATTGATATTAAACTAATAACAACATTTCATTTTATTTTACATACAGCATATTTGCGCTGCTTATCCATTCGTGTTTGTTGTCTCACCCCAAGAGGTGTGGGTTTTCCATCTTGAAAAGTATAATCAGGTAAGTTTGTTAATGGGCCAAAAGCATTTGGATTGGCTGTCAATCCACGACTGAAAATATGCAATATTTGAGTTAAACAGCTTTAAATATAAATTAATTTATCTTTACAAAATATATAACATTATATTAACATTAATATAACATTATATTAACAATAATATATTTAATATTTTTTATATATAAATTAATTGAAACAAAATCTTATAATGTTGACATAAATATTTTATACGCATACATATATATACATGTATATACACACATATATATACATATATATACACACATAATATATATTACAACAATGTACACTAGCTGTTATTTAACACATAAATTATAAAAGCCATACTTTTCTCTCCATCTTCTAAAATTCTCTTGTACACAAGATTGGTGAAATTTATTAACCACATTATAATCTATAACAAATATCATAAAACACTATAACTTAATGCAACTCACAAATTTAATTTTAATAATTTTTTGTCTTAAAACTAGATTGTAGAATAAGTGCAACTATATAACAATCAGTTGTATTTTTTAAAAATAATATAACATTATAATACTAACGTATACGTTGAACGCAAAGCATAAATTTAGCAGACATCATATTTAATGATAAATATCAAGTAAAAACAATGTTCTTTTACAATATTTAACAATATTTCTTTTTATATTTTTTTATGTGACATTATTAACATGCTCTTCAACTGCAAAGCGATTTTTGTGAATTGTTTTTTATTTTATATAGAATATTTAGGTTATATCACAGACATAACAATACAAAGATGAAGCGTGACGTGCTTGACTCGCGCACTGAGGCTGCGTTCCGATATTTACTGCCAGTACTGGAAATGTATAGCACATGTGACATAAAGTATAGATTTTTAGTACTGCAGTGAAGCTCGTCCATTTCGCGTATCTTCCCTAAGGTCTGGTTTATGCGGGCAAATAAGGCCTTGTTTTGGCCTTGTTTATCGGCAATTTCATATAAACTCCTATGCGCAGTAGGATTCTCTTCTCTCTTTGAACCCGCTAGGATACGTTCCAAAATCCTACAGTACCTACATATTCATCGGATAAAAGAAAATTATATCGAGTCTCTAATAAATATTAAACAAATAATTAATATCAACTTTATTAATAACCAGGAACCGCACAGTGGTTCGGATTCCACTTACAATTGTAGGTAAAACCAAAAGTTGGACAATTGTAGACCAGCATGGACAGAAGCAGGCGGATGTTTAAAGTTTATGAATCGCATAAAAATCAAGTCAAATAAGCATTCTAGGATACACTAAGTTACACAAATATACTATATTAAAACAAAAACACTGTTATCTCTTTATTATATTACATTACATGGATCCATAATTTTACTTTATAAACTTGAGATAATTTAACTTTTTATACAAGGAACTCGATATAAAAACTCTCCGTCGTCGTCATAATAACAATCACTAATTCGGTATGTCTTGCCAGGTTTGTAGAGATGCTTTGCAATCTTTATGGGTTTAGCATAGTCACATTCTGTATCTATTTTTTTATTCCATACTTTGATACTTGAATCTAACTTATCAGTTGTTATATCAGTGTTTTTATTATTCTGTTTAGATATGTTTTTGTTATATTGTTGTATATCTTCTTTTGATAAAGTGTTTTCTTCTGTGCTAATCATTGCCTCATTAGATCCTCTGAATACAACTTCTGCAGTTTGCATTTCTTGCCTAGCATCCATTTGTTGTCTGTACGTGTTCAACAGAGTGATGCCTTCTTCTGGAGATTCTTTTTGTATATTTTCCAAGTTTGCTTTTACAAACTCATCAAATGTAAGTGGCTTCTTTTGATTCTTTTTTTCTTTAGATAGTATTGTATGTTCCTTTTCTATGTGAGATGTTAATGGAAATATCTGTTTCTTGTTTGATGTAGCTATTTCTGAATTCCTGACAGCAATATAATTATTATCAGCCTTATCTGTTATCAATGCTTGATTATTATTGGAATAAGTGGATGTATCTATTACTTTGTCTGGACTATTCTCTTGTGACAATAAGTTTGCTTTAGTCTGTTGTTCTTTATCTAGATAAGACTGTACAAAACTAGAAAATAATTGGCTCTTTGGTTTCTTGAATTCTAGCTTGGGCTGAACAAATTGTTTTGCCAATTGTTCTCTGTCTGTCAAGATAATCTTTCTAGTTTTAAATTTTTTCAGGTGATCACTTAATTCAGAACTTAATGCAAGTTGTCCCAGATGAAATTTTTTCCAATTTTCAACTGCTACATTATCATATTCAATAACTCTTTTTATAGACTTTGGTGACCACTTAGAACTCAAAATTTTCTTTATTGTTTCTGGTAAAGCAGGAAAACTTTGACTGAGTTTCTCTATGGTCCATTCTTCAGGTTTATGTTCATGTAGCTTACAAATTAATTGTTTTTCTGCATATGTCAGAAAACGTGGTTCTTTTTCTTGAAAATACTTTTGTTTGACAATTTGTTGCTTAAGTATTTCCTTCTGCCTTTGTGTTTCTCTAAAATACATTTGTATATACATTATTATGTATATATTACACACAATAAATTTATAAAAAATTTACAAGACAGTTTTAAGTAGATATGTTAGATTGAATTAGCAATATATATATATATATATATATATGTATAGATACATAAATAAATGTAGTTGAATGTGTGAATAATATGTAAATACTATGTTTATAAAATTAATTTAATGTATGTATACCTTTCATGAGCCTTATGGCTTTCACCAACATTCATAAAATCTGGTTCTAACTCGCTTGTATCATCAGCAGTCAAATCTTCTATGTTAATCTCCGATTCGTTCTGTTTCATTATTTTTATCTTCCCGTGAATACCAGCAAGTGGATCAAATGGCTTGCCGCCACTCATTCTTCGTAATAAAACAATTAGCGGTACTATTTTGCTCTTGTTCATCGCAAAGTTCATTATTTTTCTTGTGCTTTCCATTATGTACTGTATACAAGAGTTATATTTCGAAACTCAATGTCAGTATCACAGGTCTAGTTTCCACCGAAACTCTCAATTCGGTTTTACTCCGGTACGGATTAAATTTAGTGTTCCGTTTCCATTGGAAGTAGAGTACTTAGACCCGGTTTCACAATTCGCGGTTAACTCGAAGTAACCGAAGTTCGACTTGCTGAGCTCGGTTTAACGCGTTCAATCTTCTTTGTCAAATCTTCGCTAACCAATCACAGTTCATGTTTAGAAAGAAAAGATGCGTTACGCCGAGTTCAGCAAGTTGGGCTTCCGTTAATTCGAGTTAACCGTCAATTGTGAAACCGGGCCTTATAGATCGAAGCGAAAGCGAAATCAGCGCAATTTGACAGGTTTCCATTGACTTAAATTTGATTCTACGTCGCATTAGGTGTGAATTAATACTTCGGTGGAAACTAGACCACAGTCAGTACTGTTCTTTAAGGGCCTTCTACAATGAGATATTAGTAATAAATCAGAAGTCAGAAGCAAGAAATTGACTAATCACAATCGATTATTCTTCTGTGATTTGACTGTGATTGGTCAATTTCTTGCTTCTGACTTCTGATTTATTACTAATATCTCATTGTAGAAGGTCCTTCATGCTTAATCGCGCATTTATCTGTGGTATATGTCACGTATACTATAGATAAATAAATGTACGCCTAAGCATGAAACGGACCGCAGCCATATTGTGTGCGACAGCCCTAATTTGCGCCATACACGTCAGCCAATCAAATCGTCTCAAGTACCAAATTGGCCATAATTTCATACATAATAAATGAACATTTTATAAACGAGAACAATCCTATTGAATCCTATTGTTAAACTTTTTACTGGGAGGTTCCGATATAAGTTAATGATTACTCTCTTTGCATAAACCAGGTCTAGCAAAAAAAAGAAGTTAGCGAGTGTACATATAGTCGTGGAACAGCAACACGAGAAAAGTTGACTCACTAGACTATCATTTTTTCAGGAAAACAAGTTAAGACAAGATGTACGTATACACAAAGGAAATTGTTAAATTAGCCTGCTCTTCTCTCATACTGAGATTGCGTGCAACGTGCAGCGTCTATTAATTGAAATGAGAAGTAGTATCCTTGCTTCTTAGGGTACGATCCCGTGCACTGTTATTTGTCGCGTAACGCGTAACGCGTAACCAATCAGAGAAATTACGTGTACTAACATAAAACACGTAATCTCTCTGATTGGTTACGCGTTACGCGAAAAATAACAGTGCATGGTAGCTCATAACCGGTCCAAGACCCATACACGCACCAAACCAAGCCATAACAGTGCGTGGGATCGTACCCTTAGCTTGTTGCAATTAATACATGCTTCAACTAATAGATGCTGTTATTATCTCGGTATAAAAATTGACTTACTGACAGTTGAACAAGTTAAATATCAAAACGCAGCTAATCTTTATGCTATACTTTTTCACATGTATATAATAACCTTAAAACACAGAAAAAATGGCGGATGAGAACGAAGATCAGTGGTTGTACGGTGAATCAACCGACGGAAAAGAATATGTGCCATTAGACACTCACTCAGAAACTCACCAGAATGACTCTTCACTCGCCAATATTCAGAAAATATCTGAATCTCAGGAAGATCAGGAGACAGAGAAAGCTGGTGAAGTATTGTCTGAGGTATACGCACATGACATAACCTCTTTCTACTTGTATATCGATATAAGTTAATATCTTGTACATTATTATATATTGAGTTTGGCAGTTTATATCGCTCTCAGCGTTTGCTATATCTGCACGCCTTGTGTGTAAATGTGTGTTAGCAGAAAGTTACAATCCTATGTAATATTATATTGTGATATATGTATATGTACAGAGGAGTGCACCAATATCGTTCCGCTCCAGGAGAAGTATTTCTCGGAAATTTCTCCTCCCCTTCAAGGCTGCCCCTTCAATTCGGCGCAGACCGAAGGAGTACAGTGCGCGGTAGTAGGAGCAGCCAGAAAAGAAATTTCAGAGAAATATTTTCCCTAGAGCGGAACGATATGATGCACTCCTTTGTACATATATAATACATATATATGTACATACAAATAGTGTTACAAAATATATATAAATAATATATATACATATGTATACACATATAAAAATTATGTATATGTATATATATGTATTATATGTATAAATAATCTTAGAATAAGAAAGAACTATATCTATACTTTTGAAATAGGTTTTTATGTATTAAAGTTTGTAAAACTCTTTAGACTTCCTTCTAAGATCTTCAATCACTATATGTATATAAATTGTACAGCACAGAAGTATGCTACATTATATAAAAACTATTTTTTCAATATTTATTTGAAACTGTAAAGTTCTAAATTTTTTAAATTTTATGATTAATTACCATTTATTGTTTTTAATCGTTTTTTTAAATATATTTATATATAAAAACATTTAATTTTTATATATTTACATACTTTATATATATTTCTTATGTATATTATATTTAAGAAGTATAATCTAACAAATTGATAAATTTTGTTTCTTCAGACCCAAGAAGATACTGGCTCACCTGATGGTGAAAATGAAGTGTCGTCCTCAATGAATAATGGACAGGAAGAGATAATGGACTCGACTAAAAATGGAATGAAAGAAGTTTCCAGTCAAGAGGATGGTGAAGCAGCAAGCGATTCCGATTCTGATGATGACGTCCATGTTGTTATTGGTGATATCAAATCAACACCAGCGTATGGTAGTTTAAATATCAAGCGAGGTGGATTGTTGACTAATGCATCTGGGTTACCAGATAAACTCACCAAACAACCAGGAAAGTTCAGTATAGATGAATTTGAAACTATTGGAGTTATTAATGGAATACCAGCTCATGAATTTAATCTTGATCAGTTGGAAGATAAACCGTGGAGACAACCAGGTGCAGATATTACAGACTATTTTAATTATGGTTTTAATGAAGAAACTTGGAGAGCATATTGTGAACGTCAAAAGCGAATGCGAAGTGAATCCGGAGTCGGATTAATCTTAAACACTGGAAGTGGTGGCGGCAATCCAAATAGCATAAGAGTACCTCAAGTAGCAATTACGAATGATAATAGCAAATACTCTGGTATTTCAGGCCCTAAAAGGGCAGGTCCACCACCAGGAAGGAAAATGGCAGGCACTATTGATGTTATTGGAAGCTCTGGTTTAGCTTCCAGAAGAAATTTAGATAAATCTCCACCAAAAGGAAATGTTATACAGGTTATGACTGCTGACAGACGAGAATATTCGAGGAAGCCAGGTTTTCCCGATATGAGTGTGCCGCCTCCAGGACCGGGATTGCCGCCATTTGATATACCTCCTCCGGGATACGCCGGAGATCCGAATTCGTTTTACATGCCGGAAACTGATCCATATTATCAGAGTTATGAGCCTACTCAAGATAACCAATGGGGCAATGACCCAGTAAGAAAACATTGTACAGTGTATGAAACTTATTTGAAGATATTTTTTCAAAAAATATTAACTATAATTTTTTCTTATTAAAGACATGGCAGCCAACAAATTTAGCAATCCCGATGACGGAAGGTGATGATGATAAAGACATGGCGCCTAAAACGATACCTACGATGGTTCCACCGACATCCATTCCTCCTCTGATGCAACCACGTGATCAAAGGGACAGCCGAGATCGCGAGCGAGATAGAGATAGAGATCGGGAATTGGAATCTGTGAATAGAGATAAAGATAGAGATAAAGATCGGGATCGTGACAGAGAGAAAGATTCTATGATAAGAGACCGCGATAGAGATTCTATGACACGGGACGACGATCGAGATCGCGATAGATCCAGGATTCAATATCGACATAAAGACCGGTAATGATTACCTTTTTCTGTTTCTTCAATTACAATTTATAAAATTTTATTCATCTCTCTCATTATAAGACTAAAATTTATTATATAAAGTATAGAGCTCTGTGACATGTATATTTTGTGATTTTATTTCTGATATATTTTTTAGACATAGACATCGATCAAGATCCCGATCTCGTAGACATAAATCAAGATCACGAAGTCCGAGCCGACGAAAGAAGAAATCCAGGCGCTCAGATAGAGAACGTTCTAAGGAGGAGAGCGAATAAATACGTGTATATGTAATGTGATTAAGAGAGTTAATTTACTGCATTACACAAGATTGATTAGAATTAATTGCATATTGCATTAGAATTAATTAGATATTTTTCAAGGAGTAAAAGTAATGTTTTCATAGAGAACTTTTTCTGCAGATATTATTGCTACATAAAATGTTAACATCAATATAATTATTCACGAGTTTTCAAGCTATGCAAAACAATAAAAATGAAATATATAATCGATGTCTAAATGATCGATATGTTTTAGTGTACCAAAAAATAAGTATTTTTTATGATAAAAATAATATAATTCTTTTATATTAAACGAATAAATTAATTAAACAAAGTTATTAAAAAAATAAACCGATCACAGATTGAAAGAAAAGAAGTTTTATGTGTAGTATCTTTATTTAAAATTTATCCAATTATTTTTTTATTAAACGTTTTTGTAAATATTTTTTATTGTTTTATATTATTTTTTATAATTTTAAAGAAAAGAAAATATATTCACTGAAAATAAAACTTTATTTTCAAAAAACATTTGTACACAGTAAATTATTTGTAACTTTTCCCTCAATTTCGAAGTGTTTGTAACTCATGCTCTAACGATCCGCCCATACGGTATAGAGGAGTGCACTGTATTGTTCCGCTCCAAGAGAAGTTTTTCTCTGAAATTTCTCTTCTGGCTGCTTCTACTAACGCGCGCCCTACTCTTTTGATCTCCGCCAGCAGCCCGAGATTGAAAGAAAAACGGCGTGCGGTAGTAGGAACAGCCGGAGGAGAAATTTCCGAGAAATACTTCCCCTAGAGCGGAACGATATGGTGCACTCCTCTGTATCTTCTCTCTTTGAACAGTGTACATATTTGTTCGGTTCGGTTCGGTTTGGTAGTGGCTAAAGGGCCATTAATACCCATACGCCATTCTGTGATGTAGAAGGTACAGAGGGGTGCACCATATCGTTCCGCTCCAAGAGAAGTTTTTCTCTGAAATTTCTCTTCTGGCTGCTTCTACTACCGCGCGCCGTACTCTTTCGATCTCCGCCAGCGGCCCGAGATTGAAGGAAAACGACACGCGATAGTAGGAACAGCCGGAGGAGAAATTTCCGAGAAATATTTCCCCTGGAGCGGAACGATATGGTGCACTCCTCTGTACTTGTAGCGGACAATACTCTGTTTGTATACAGGTTTGGTGCATATATGGCTCAAAGGACCGCCTCAAGTTAGTCCATACGCCATTCTAAGCGCTCTGTTTGTATACATACCATATAGACGTAGAATGTACAGACTGCGCGTTCCCTACCTTTGCCATGTTAAGAAAATGTCTTCAACGTTGAGAGAGACAGCTGGTGTTGAACAGTAGCCTCATCTTTGTCTAGCGAAGTAGTGGGGGAAGAAGAAGTCTTCGCTGATTGATAGAATAGTAGTGGAAAAGTGGGAATAGAAAAATAGTGGGGATGAAGAAGAGTGAAAGAGATTAAGGGGTGATGGCAGGTTATAGGTGGTATGAAACAGTAGGCCCTGATCCCACCACAGACATTGATAGACAGAGAAAGAATTACTGTTCAAAGTATGTTGTCTCTGTCAACCATGAAGACATCTTTTCAGCCAAACGCGCAGTCTATATATTCTACGTCTATGGTACACGCACGGAGCAAAACTACGCATTAGAGCTACTATATGGCATTAGTGTAATACGAGCGCAAAAAGCAGTTGAGACGTGATACGAAGTGAATCCAACTTGTTCGTAAAAATCGTGAAACGTGTTGTATCGCAAGTTACTGCCTTACTATATATATATAATATATATATGTATAATACATATTTATAATGCAGTGTGCATGTACGCGTGATGCGCGCGCACACGCGTGTTGGTTTAAATTTCATTCGTCAATTTCGCACACCACGCGACCTCGTGAAGTCCGCCATTTTCAGGAACAACTGTGCTCTCGCAAGCGCACACAGAGTTCGTGCAGTTTGTACGGTGTTGAGACAAGTTTGTATTTGACGAGATTCAATAAATTTCGTGTTTTTTTTTTTTTTGTCAAGAAGGAAGTTTGCATGCTTTTTAACTGAAAGGTAAATCAAATGTTGTTTACTATATTTTTATACTCGTAAAAATTATACGGAAATATACATGTAACAAATATAATTTTACTCACGTTGCGATACGCGTGATTTACATATACCTACTTGGAATATAGATACTAAAATAGTCTCACATTGCGTGCAGTCGCGTGAAAGTAATTGCAAGTGCGCTCGAAATTTTCACCACACGCTCATAGGCGAAATTACAAAAGGCGAAAAAAATTTGCGGAATTATATTTTTTTTTATCCGAGATCAATTATTTTCTTCTCCGTAACAATTCGAACTGACTGCTCGTTTAAAGGGAAAATTGTAACTTGTGACCGGAGAAAGATCAAGAAAAGAAATACGTTTTTGATAGATAAAAAAAACTGCGTCTAATTGTTTTTCAAACTCAATCAAGAAAATACTCGAAGAAAGAATGATTTACGAACTGCGTTTCTAGGTTAGTTGGACGATCACATCGGGGAAGTGTATGATTCGTCGCGGAGAGTCACGGACTCGTCGTGAACACGAGTGACTCGTCGTCACGAGAATTCCTTAGACGAAAGACACATGTGAAAACCCAGAAAGTGATCATTGCTTTTATTCTCTACATTTCTCAAAATCCACTTGTCATCGTGATGTAAACCTTTGTACTCCATGGTGCGAACTGTTCACTATACCATAAATTGTAAAAGCGTATTTCAGCGACATGAGTTATTGAATGTTTAACATTTGAGTTATAAATTTGACAATTATAAAGAGCAATTGCAAAACTATATAATATATCCACTCTGAATACGATATTCATCAGTCAAATAATAAAATCCAAAATGCTGCGGACGGTTACTGAGATGACTCATCTAAAAAACATAATCAAAGAGTTTCCTAAGAATATAAAATTTTGCTTTGCTTACGGATCAGGTGCATTCAAGCAGACTAATAATAACAACAACAATATGTTGGATCTAATATTTGTTGTGCGAAATGCAAACAAATGGCACGCAGAAAATCTGGCGATGAATCCCAAACATTATGCACAACCGCTGAGATTTCTCGGTCACAAAATCATCACTAATGTGCAAGAAGGATCGGGTGCTAAAATATTTTACAACACACTAGTCAAAATCAATGACAATCATCTCATTAAGTATGGAGTAATTTCTGAAGTTTCGCTGGTAGAGGATTTATTAGACTGGAACGACTTGTACTTAGCGGGAAGATTGCACAAACCAGTCAAAGTGTTGATAGAACCCGACGAAAACTCACAATTGCGTACAGCTTTGGTACAGAATTTGCATTCAGCCGTACACGCAGCTTTGCTCTTGCTACCCGAACATTTTACAGAAATTGACTTTTTCAAAAAGGTTACTGGCCTGTCTTATCACGGTGACTTTCGAATGGTCTTTGGCGAAAATAAAGAAAAGATTAGTAACATAGTGTTGCCGCAGCTGTATTATTTCAAGCAGCTGTACGAACCAATTCTAAAGCACTTTGAAAATTACGTAGATATACCTAAATCGGATCATATGGCTACTATGTGTCATCAGGATACCAGCCCGGACACCAAGATTCATCATTTGAATCATTTACCCAGAACGCCTCAAGTTAAACTAGTGCGAGCGTGGTCACAGGGTCCAAGATCCAAAGATACGGAAGATTGTCTGCGTGCTATTGCGCATGATCCAGAATGTTGCGATATACTTGAGCAATGTTTGAAAGAAATTGTTTGGAGATCTAGTTTAACTCAAAGTCTAAAGGGTATTTTAACGGCAGGTCTCACGAAATCCGTTAAATACAGCAGTGCTAAGATAATTAAGATGTTGCAGTCTAATCCCCCTCAAAACATTCTACCCAAACCAGAACCAAGTAAAATCGATAAAATTGTTGAATCTGTTGTAAAGAAAACAGAAACCAAGAATACTGAAAAACGTGTCGAGTAATTACTGTCTCGTCTCCTAGAAAAGAGATCATTTACACTCCTGATATACACATATATTTGTAAATTCTTAGACAAAACTTGTATTGCAAATAAAGAGGATAAGTTGCGATCAACAGTAGAACATATTCTTTGTAGGTATTATTTGATGCCTTTGACTTGCAGTATAAGTTCATAAAACATTTTTTCAATATAGTTTATTTATTTATTTATTTTTTTTTTTTTAATATTTCTAACAGAAATTTTATTAACAAGAATTAGGATGTAATCTGTTAAAATGTTATTACATATCTGATATAGAAAAGAGAGAATATCAAAACATACAGTTACGTGTAGTTTAATTGAAAAAGGTCTAATTATATGTCAATAGTTTTTGTTGTGTGCTTTCAGTTGAATTAGACTATGACAATGATGGATTCCGATTCTGCGAGCCAGGACAGCGACGAAGGACGTCGGTTTCGTTTTGAGGCCACGCGTAAAGACGCGTTTGCACCCAAAAAAGAAACTACAAACGAAAGAGAAACGTCGAGGAATTTTAGAAGCAAATTGTCTCACGAGAGCGATAGACACTATCGGGACAGAAGAGAACGATCGAAACACGAAAGTGACAAGAGAACAAACGACAAGGATTTCAGACAGTCATCTTCAAAATATTCGAGGCATTCGAGGCAAGAATACAATAAAAATTCGTACAAGGATCATCTAAGTAGCAGAGATACATCCGTTGGATCCACCCAAACTGATAGAGACTCCAGGAATTCCTGCGGGGGTGACACAAGAGAAAGATCGCGAAATTCGAAACGTCACTCGGACAAAGATCGGAGCGCCTATTCGGCACGACATTCGAAAGAACGTTCGTACGACAGGAATTATCACGACGGGCGGACATCGAGCGATAAGCACAGAAATCGCGATTACGAGCGATACAAACATCGTTCACGAGACAGAAGTCAGAACAGAGTTCATCAATCGAACAAAGTTAAATCTTCGAGTGATGATTATCGAGACGGTCATGGAAAACGTGATTCCTTCCAGAAGAGAACATCGTCGAAAGAAAACAAGCTGCAGAATTCGAAAGAACACCTCTCACCCTCGTCCAAGAACGTCAAAGAAGCTTACAACAAGAACACCAAAAACGATACTGTGGACAGTCATGAATGTAAGGATCTGGATTTATCGCAGTTTGATGTCTTGTCGGAAATCGACGAGAATATGTCCGACAGTCGGGATTCCGAGAGTCGAACGTCATCGTCTCCTCATTTGCGTAAGAGGGAAAGACACGAGTCTAATGATCGAGCCGAAAGTTGTGTAATAAAGAAGCGGACGAAAGAAATTGGCGACGGAGCGAGCGAGAGAGAACGACCGGAGGAATCATGCAAGGTAAAACAAAGGAAGTACGACCAAGTGTCTACTTCTAGTAATAATCCTAGTGCGATTTCAGATTCCTCACGCGCCTTTGCACCGTCCGCGACGCTCTCGATAACGAGAGAATTTCTTGCAGATTTTGAGAGAGAAAAGTCTGAACAGGCAGAGAAGAAAATGATTAGTCACGATGATGTCAACGAACGTCTTAATTCCTCCGATGAGACGAAACTATTAGGAAGATGCATCGGACAAACCAGGTCCACATACGGTCCGCTTTTACCACCCGGACTCGTGTCTAGTGATAACAAGCTTGAGACGAATACTCTCAGTGAAAATAAGATTAACGACAACGTCAATAGTAACAGCACGAGTTTTATCGGACCTTGTTTACCATCTCTGTCGAACAATTGTCAAAACAAAGAGCGAGAAGATGCTGTTACATCCAACATGTCGGAATCGGATGCTGTCTTCGGGCCAGCGCTGCCGCCGCATTTGTTACAACGACAACGTGACAAATCACGGGATAAATTCATCGGACCTATACTATCTAACGTTGAAAAATTACAGAAAGAAAGTTTAGTCGCTTCTTGGGAATCCGATGACGACAGTGCCATAGGCCCCTTGCCCGCGGATCATCCAGCACTGAGAAACAGTCAGGTGCACGAACAATTGGATTTGAGGGCGGAAACAATCAGACGGAAAGGATATCAGGAGGCAGAAGTAAACTAAAACAAATATATGAAATATTAATCGTTTAATGTTTGTAAAAGAGGATATATTATATATAATGTATGTTTTATCTTCCAGGTTATAAACAAGCGCGAAGAATGGATGACCGAATTACCACCAGCTCAACATCCTGCTAATCTTGTATTGGCGCGCAAGTTCAGGACACGAGACGGCCCCGATATGTCGGATAGATCGTCTTGGACTGATACCCCCACCCAAAAAGCTCAAAAAAAGAATGACTCGGTACATGCATATTTATTTATGCGTATATATTCCTGTTTTTATATTTAAATAAAAATATTTGATGCTTTCGCGGTATGTAGCATTAACATACAAAGATGTTTTTTGATGAAGAGCAGTATCAGGCTGCTCTTTAAACCCTGATGAAGTGAGCTGTAATGTTTACGAAACGTCGGTATAAAAATGACACTAACGCGGTTCAAACCCGAAAAAACATCTTTGTATGTTAAATAAAAATATATTATCTTGTGAGAACGTGGAAATTTTACATGTACGCTTATTGCATGTTTATTGAATCTTTTTGATTAGGAATACAAAAAACTTAGCAACATACAAAATGTAGATGAAAAACATGTGGACGAATCACACAAGCATAAATCAGACGAAAGTGAGAAGCGTGGAAAATCGTTACTGGAGATACATCAGAGCACAATGAGAGAAAAAAAGAGGGTAAGTTTCTTTTCCAGAATTTTTAAAAGTTGTAAATTACTAGATTGTCAAATTAATAAGTTTTTTGTAAATTTACTTTCGTGTACTTACAGAAAAAAGAAAAAGCCGCGAAACAACTTGGTATATCAACAAGAAGACCGTTTGATAGAGACATCGATTTGCAAGCTAATCGACTTAATCAGACGCAGAAGAGATCCATCCTCATGAAAGCACAGTCAATGGACGATAAATTTGTCCGCGGAAAAATATAATATTGTATTGTTCTTTTACCGAAGATATACAATTGCAAACAATTGTAAATACATGTGTAACTACATATATTTGTATATACGATCATTAATTAACGAGACACGTTGGATTCTACATGAAATGAACTTTTAGAAATCAATGTTGAATATTGTTACAGATTTGTGCCTTGAATTAAGAAGATCTGTGAGTTTTATTGATCAAGAATTTTACATAAGTGTTTTAGCACATATATTGTACCTTGAATGATGCAAGATGTAATTTGAGAGTTTGTGGCACACGATGCTCTGCTTGCTTTGTGCTAGATCGCACGCAAGTGTCACGACGATTTAGCAATTCTTGGTATTTTTAAATTATTATCGGTTGATTTCAATGCTTGTATGCGATGTGGCACGAAGAAAAGCAATGACCGCAGCAGAATTCGTTTGTGCTTATTGTCTGTCGTGATCGCGGTCTGTTTTTCTAAATTTATTGCAAATGTAAAAGCACATGACGCGAGTGCTCACAAAGCGCTTGTTGAGTGCTCGGTTATTGTTGAGCGCGATCGTTGTGTGCCGTTAGTAATCGCGATTACAAATAGTTGTAATTATAATTGCAATAATTTAATTACATTTTAGTCGATTAACTCTCTGATTGTATCTTTTTATCGTAATAATTTAGCAAATAACACTAGCAAATTTCCTAAAATCTCTTTCATTTGAGGCATAATAGTAACTTTTTTTAAATTTCATTTTGTTTATATACGTAAACTACAGCACAACATTTCGCAGGCGCAATTGTTTTGAAAGAAATACATTTATATTATTATATAAACTTTTCAAACTTTCGCAATTTTTTATCATTTTTTTTTTTTTTTTTGCAAAATATTAACATTGTACGACATAAAAACGCGTAACTACATTGATATCTTTTATAAATAATGTTTACACATATATTTGATCTCTTAACGCATAATCGTTGTCTCGTGATATAACAAAAATGAGCATAATGTAATAACAATAAATAGCAAATTTTGTTTTCTGCGCTTGTGTTAAACAAGTTTATACTGACGCTTGTGTGTGTTACATCTGCTATAATTTCTCTATAATTTCTAAAACAAGTACAAAATATAGTGTGATATTTAGGCACAGGTGATATATACCTCGGAATACACTTTACACAACGAATATACGAGTGTCATTCAAATATTCCCGAGTATGACATTTATATGTTACTGATTTCTCATAATTTTTTTTAGTGGATACTCTTCTTGGCAATTCACGATTAATATTCTCAGAAATTGAATTGATTTTTTATTTATTTAACCAACTATTATGAAAAATATTTCAGCACATAAAATTCAAAACTCGATTTTTATAGTTTTCTCTGCAAGTTGTTAATTATTAAAATTCACGAAAGTGTCGATATATATATACATATATGTTAAAAAATTTAATTAAAATTAAATTTTTTGATAGTAAACTAACTCAGTATATAATTTTATTTTGTTTGTTTTACCGTTTGTACATATTACATATTTAAGAGCATATTGTGCACATGTGATGACGACATGTCATACCGTAAATTCCATCAGATGGCTCTGACAATGAGTTTAAAAGATTGAAAGAGGGCGCTTTAGGCAATTAAAAGTTGTTCGACTCGAAATACACATACATACATGGCTGCGTTGGGCTACGTTGATCATCTGGCCCGATAAAATCACGAGTAATATCAACAGAAATTTCTGCATCTTAGAGAAAAGTTCATCAAACGGGCGCCCGTTTTTCGTCCAAGGTTTGCTTGGTCTGTGGGAATTGACAAAGACTGCAGTAATAACGACAAGCAAGCAAAATGGACATCGATGTGCCTAAGGATAACACAACAACCGAGCAAACGCCGATGGAGATCGACGAAGACAGCTCTGAGAGAAATCCGAAGAATGCCATTAAAGTCATGGCATCTTCGGGCACTATTGGCTCTGTGTCCATCAGTCTACATCCGTTGGTGATCATGAATGTTAGCGAACACTGGACTAGACTCAGAGCTCAAGAAGGTAGCGACCAGTTAGGTAAGAGATTTTCTCATTTAATAATTTATTTAAAATAAGCATACATAAACATAAACATAAATATTTATATTTTTTTAACTGTTCTACATTTGACCTAACATTTTTTCTCTCCTTATGTGTATATTGTGTAAATATTATTCTTAACGAAATGTTTTCAGTATACGGTGCTCTGATTGGTAAACAAAAAGGTCGTAATATAGAAATCATGAATTCTTTTGAATTGTTGTTCACATGCATTGGTGATGATGTTATAATCGATAGAGATTATTATAATACAAAGGAAGAACAATTTAAGCAAGTTTTTAGTGAAATGGACTTTTTGGGCTGGTACACTACTGGCGATACGCCCAACGAAAGAGATATTAGAGTGCACAAGCAACTTTGTGAAATAAACGAAAGTCCTGTGTTGTTAAAACTGGATCCGCGACCAAAAAATACGGAAGCAAGTTTATTAAATATGTTCCAATAAGAAAGACTAATTTTTTATCGATAAAAATGACATGGTTCTAATTAAGTTTTTCATTGTAGCATTTACCTGTCTCTATGTATGAATCGGTGATTGATTTAGTTAACGGTGAAGCCACTATGCTTTTCGTTCCATTAACTTATACATTAGCCACAGAGGAAGCAGAGAGAATTGGAGTCGATCATGTACAAAGGATGTGTAACAACGATCAAGGAGAATGTTCAGTAGGTATGTAACACAACCATGCTCTCATTTATCCAATTGTGAAAAAATTCAAATCGACTATATGTGAACACATTTAACTTCCAGTTGCTGAACATCTGACGGCTCAACATAGTGCTATTAAAATGTTGCATGCAAGAGTGAAACTTGTTTTGAGATACGTACAAGCGGTGCAGAGTGGAGAATTGAAAGGAAATCACGAAGTTCTTCGAGCAGCTTGTTCTTTGAGTCATCGTTTGCCTGTTTTAAATAATCCGAAATTCAAAGATGATTTTTATAATGTTAGTATACACCACGAAATGTAATATCTTGATCAGTTATGTTTTTGTACGTATTATATAATGATTTTTAAAATATTTTATATATTATGTTTCAGCAATGTAACGACTTCGGTTTGATGACGTATCTGGGCATTATAACAAAAGGTTGTAATAATATAAATCAATTTGTAAACAAGTTTAACATTTTGTATGATAGACAAGGTGTGGGGCGTCGCCTAAGAAGTCTCTTCTTCTGATGTGTAAATAGAATCTGTTGTTTTTATACGTCTCTCTTTTCCTTTTATTTCTTTAGATAAGTAAGTACCGAACTCAGGATTAAAGCTTAATCAGCCAACTTAACTGTAGGACACTCTGAGTACTACTTTAAACATATATACATAATGTAACAAAAATAAAAATAAAAGTAAAAGAGTAAAGATTATACACACAGCAGTTTTTTAAAATAAAGTATATAACAATGAATGTGATAGGAAATAACGACCACCCAAAAACGAGCGTAATATTGTTCAGAAATATTTATTGAAAGCTTATCTCTCTTTGTATAAATGGTATGTTTCAATTAAATATAATAACGTGTGATATTAAATAAAAACTGTGATGCATTGACATGTTTTGTTCTATGTTTATATTGGTTTTACATTCAGTTAAATTATAATTTAAAAAACAAAGATACCATTCATGCAACAAATTACATTTTAAAACATGGTTACTTAGAAATCTTGAATAAACGCAAAGTCCTAACTCCTGAGTGCGTGTATATACAAAATTCCTCCTTATTTGTATATAACAAATTTATTTAAATTTTCTTAATACATATACGTGCGTTTTATATATATTATAATACATATAATTTAAATAAATTTATATTATACAATTAGTATAATAGAAGATTGTATATGCAGTTGCAAAACACTCCTATCATTGCTTGGAATGAGAAATATGTGTTGCAAGACAGATACTTTCACATGTTTCACTTCAATGATAATGGAAGACCTCATTTTAATTGATTTACATACTACAAAGCATTTTTTTTGTTGTTTTCGTAGGCTCTGTGTTATCTACACTCCTTACACTCAAATTTATGATTTTGTAGAAGCAATTTGTGTGTATGTGTGTATATATGTATACACACAGATTTGATTTTTATAAAAAAATGATTCTATTGTAAGAGAGAAGTTTATTATAAAATATTACTAAAAGTTTTCTCTTCTAAAAATCTATTCGCATATTACACGTGTGTATATATATTATATATATATGTATATATATATATATATATATATATATATATATATATGTATACTCGTATATATATATATATATATATATATTAGAGAGAACGCGACTCTTATAGATAAATATTATTGTACAAAATATAGTTTAGTATATTGTGTGTATACGTGTGTTGTGTGCGAGGCGCACACGTTAGTTATTGCATGTAACTATGTGTAATTACACTCAGTTACTCGTTTCGTACGAAGTAAAATCAAAATTGACTTTTCGTACATGACTAGACCGTCATCAGGTGGAACAGCAGAGGAGGCTTCGTCCATTCTTTTTCCACCTCGTCACAACAACGTGTGACAATCGTGATACATATAATGCAATTCTTATTTTTTCTCCTACGTTTGTTTTCTGGAAATGTATATAGCGAGTGATAGATTTGAATATTACTTGACTCTATATACGTTTTACAGGCTAGAAAATATCGCAGCCACTACGCTTTCTATTTGTGATATATATTGCCTTTTACAAGGAATTGTGCGAGTCGACCTGATATTTACCTTTGATATGCTAGATGACAATGATAGTTTCAAACGAAAAGTAGAAACCACTCTTTTTCTCTGTTAAAATAAAACGTGTCTCTCTTATGTGACTACGTTTGTAACTGTTAATTAGAATTAAGTCTTGATTTTGTATCTTCAACTACAATTAAATACCCGTTTGTTTGTTTTTTTTTTTTTTTTCTGTGTTCTCTCTCACGTGGGGGGAGAGTAATATTGATATATTAGGTCTTTAATAGGCTGTCCTCGATCATAGTAGCCAGGATGTCTACCAGAACAGACAGCGTCGTGCCGGGCTAAGGACTCGGCTTGTCCATGCCGATGATCTCCTCGAAGAGGCTGTTCTTTCCTTCTACTTGGTCCTCGATTGTCTGCACAGCGTATCTCAACGTCGCAGCGGCCAGATCGCCCACCGACCAACGTCTGTCCATTAGAACTCTGCTCACGGTATCCAACTTGAAGTGCAAACGATAAATAGTGAGGATTTATATGCAACAGAAAAAGTAGAAACTTTTTTTTTTACCTTAGATAAACTGGGATTGCCGGCGGTGTAATAGATTAGTCTTGGCGCGCCCGCCAGAGAGGAAGCGAGCCATTGAATAACGAGTTTCAGCTGCGGATTGCCCTTCAACCTGGTCCCACATCCCCAGTTACCGGTAGCGATGGGTAATAAACCTCCTCCTTGCGGACTATTGTCGCGCTGCAACTACACACATTCAACAATATAAATTATTACAAATGTGTTTTTGTCACTAAATCATATTTCCAATATTTACACAGGCATCGTAGTTAAAGATATCATCTTGAACTCAGCTAGACACGTCATTATCGAACGTCATTAAAAACGCTACATACAAAGCTTAAACAGTGTTGTTATTGTTTTAGTTCACGCGTAAGTATTGATTTTTTTTTTTTTTTTTTTTTTTTTTTTTATTATATAACGATGAAAAAGAGAGAGCAGATACAATATTTTTCTGACGGTTAATATTGAGCAAAACAAAGAGGACAGAAACAATGCGTGAGTGAAGAATTGTAAATAGGATAGACTGAGAGACAGATGAAAAGTGTGTATTATTAGTCACGAATAAAAATTCTCTATATTAAAAAGGCTTTATGTGAAGAGTTCCAAGTCACAGAAGATGCTTTTCTTTCCAAGCATGTCTTGCACACGTATGATTCAACGCAATTGTTGTCATCTCATGCATTACAATTATACACGTGACGTATGCGGCCGTAACTCATCACCTCTGTGACACCGAGCATATTCGTTTTGTGCGTTTTGCGCACGTTCGCCGTTTGACTCAACCCAGATACGGGTGTTGCTGATAAACGCACAGTCGTCTGATCATCGACCAATGTTTGAAACACTTCCGACGTAAACGTAACGGCACGAAGTTTCCTACGTTGGGCATCCCTCGTCTCCGTTATTATCTCGCTCGAGGCGTCCTCGTAGCGATCTACATCTTCGGACTCGGACACCTACACAGCATTTCGGCTGCCGATTATTCCGTGCGTTTTACACAAGATTAATTTTGTTTAATTATTTTCGCTCGCATTGTCAGTCACAAGTCATCGACTCGGTTTCGAGAACTGTCTCTCATTCCATCACAAATGTGTGTCTGTGTACAATTTTCATGTTACAAGCGTGTTTTTGTTTTTATTCTCAATCTTTTACAAAAGGAGAGCTTAAAAGCGTAATTAAGATTATTAGTTTTCTTCGGCTTTGAAAGCATCTCGTAAAACAAAAGGTAAGACATTTTCGATCGAATATTAGAGAAAAAGTGACTTTTTTTTCATTTAAATGGTTTTTTTTTTTTTTTACGAGGACTGGAAAACAATTTGCGATTATACATCCGTTTCGATCGCGAAGGATCGCGCAAAAATCCAAGTCTCTTTTTAATTCAGCTGATTTTTGCAGGAATTTAATGCAATTTGTAAAGAATTCGCTGTCGACTTACTGATTGTTGTCTTCGGTTCTTTTGCCGAGCGAGTTCCAGACTGAGGCTTCTCACGGCCAGCGCGAGCTTGTGCTGCTGGTTCACGTCGTTCGCGTCGATGAACGGCTGCGGCTCGCCCTCCTGGACCGGCACACCGGCGAACGATTCGCTCAGAGCGCGTTTTAAAAGCGAACCGGCGAATTGCACGACTGCCTGATCTCTCGCGTCCAGTTCTCGATTTTCGTCCGTCATTATCGGATCGTCCAGCCATTTCGACAGCTGCTCGTAAACTTCTTCCAGTTCGGAACAGAAATCTGCGCACAAGATCCAGTTTTTTTTTAGTTCGTTTATCTCCGTCTTTATAAAGCGAACAATCTTTGGTTTTTTTTTTTGCAAACAATCTTTTCGCGAATACTTGCCAGAATTATATTCGGTGCTGAAGCTATACTTGCTGCTCGCACTCGTGTCCTTCTTCTGAATCATAGGTCCCTGATTCTGTCGGAATCGGCCAAGCCATTTTTGCTCGGCCTCTAGAGATTCCTTCAAGAATTCTTCGTCTACTGTCTCGTCCCGCAAGACAAAGCCCCTCGATCCTCCTCTTCTCACCCTGTAATTTTTTTATTTTTTTAATCGAATTCCGTTCAAAATATTATGCAATTGTGTAACTGCAACATTATAAATATATCGATTATACTTGATGTCTTGATCATCGACGTGACTGCCGCTGACGCTTATGCCGACGGCGTAGCTGCTCTCGCCGGAGGATGTATTCGAGGAGGTCATTCCGGTCGCCGTGCTTTCTCGTTTCAGAGCATCCTTGAGTCTCTGCGCGAAAGTTCCCCGTCTCTCGGGTGTATCTAATTGTGTGCTGTAACGTTTGGTGAGCTTCTGCTCTTCTTCCTCTGAAAATTTGTTCGTTCGGTCAAAAGCATCATCTTTCAAATTATTATTCGAATCTTTTATCCGAGCATAAATGTACACGTACCAGGTTCCTCGTCGATGGTCTCCTTGGCGCTGTGAAAACTGTCCGTGCTCTGACTGTTGCAACTGCTGTAGACCGACGTTTGACCGAGTGATTTGCGCGTAACCGGCAGAATCTCGCCACTCGATCCGAGCACGATGAACCGATTCCGACGATTCGTGCAGCTCGCGTCCTTGCACACCTTGTAAGGACTCGGCGGTCTCACCGATTTACCGTTAGGCCTCGTGCGCGTCTCCGTCGCGCTTTCCAATGTGCAGTGATCTTGCTTGTCCGCCGATATCTTGGAATTATTGCTCGCGGCAAAGCCCTTGTCCTCGCCCTCAGTTTCCGGCGGGGTGCTGCTGAAACTCTCGCCGATCGGCGACAGTCTGCGCGATCCTAGACCGATCTCCGCCTCCGAGTCCGTTTTGATCGGATCCGTCGGGCTGCTGGGCACGTGCCTCTGGCGAAATCCCAGCAACGACTTGTTCATCTCCCTGAGAATATTGTCCTCCTCGAACTGCGTTAACGGCAGTCGCGAGTAGTCCTCGGGATCTATGCAGCAGACGGTCACCTGCGCTCGGGAAACTGTGCGATTGTTTACCTTCCCACCGTGACGTATGTAAGAATCGCGCCGCGCCGAGAAAACGTTCTTCACTCACCACATTTGGCTTTAAGATGCCCTCGAATATCGCCTTGTGCCGCGGATCGTTTATCCTCGACATGTGTCTGACACCTTCTATTATCAGTACTTCGTTGTCTTCTAAGGCCTCGACAGACAGCATTGCGGCGAGCATCTCTGGATGTGTCGCGACCTGCGAGTGAAAAATCACGATCCTTGACGTAGCTTTAAATATTTCATCGACAATATATGAGACTGTGTGTGTATAACGTATAATTAGATAATCTTAATTAATTACATGTACAGTCTCCTGCGTGACGTCACCGTCGAGTACTCCGCCGCCGATTTTGGCATTGGCGAAGCACACTTGCAACACTTTCGATTCCGCTTCGATTCTTTCCAATCGACCTTCGTGACGTATCGTCAGCTGGCATAAAGGTGTATTGCTCTCCAGCCAATCTTCTATAGTGAGCCATTGCTTAGATGTCATCACCTGAGAATTGCATTAAAAATTCTTCTTATGAAAAAAAAAAACGAAGTAGAAGATAAATACAAAAAAAAACAATTCTTATCGCGTACCTGTCTGGAAATTATCAAACAACCATCGAGCGCGTGCTCCGTCTCGAGATAATTATAATAATGGAAGATACTTTTGAGCTTTGCTTTTTGTGCGTTTCTAAAACCCAACGAAGTACTTGAAAATTTATCTGTTTTTTTTTTTTTTTTTTTTTTAATTCTAAATTTCTTTGAGATTTCAATCAACGTATCGATATATAGTTACTTACTTGTGAAGATGTCTGAAGAAGTTCGTAAAGTTAAAATCGCGCAACGTGGGATGCGTTTTCGCGGTTCTCTTCGGATAAGTCGAGAAAAATGCGTTTGCGATTAAAGAGGAGACAAAGGCATAACTGTACTCAACGCTATCTCCTATATAATAAAATAAATCAATTATAAATTAGATCCCGAGAGTTATCGTAGTTTCGCTCTCTCTATTTAAACGCGTACTATTTGTTTTATCATTCTCAGAGAATGTTAATTGAGATAATCCAATTGCACAATTTATCTGTACGACGTAGTTGAGAGATTTAAATTTGCGATGCTCGTACCTTGCTGCTGGAGACTAAAATGTAAACCTTGCGGGGGTTTTGTGGATTTTAAGGCTTTCGCTCGTTCCACCATTTGCGGTATTGTCTTCGTGAATACCTGTTCTCTCTCTGCTAAATCGAGATCTTTGTCTAAGAAAGTCGCCAATTTGGAGAACAAGTTGGGGTCTTGTACATCTTCCTCAGGATCGAGGCTTATGCTGAATACAATACAAATATTATTTTTACGAATAATTTATATAGAAATATTTGTAAAACGTGGATTACGTTACTTTTAATGTTTTTAATATTTCATCGCGTGTTTCATAATTAAAAACTAAATCGAAACTATGAAAAATAATAGAATTTAGAGACAGCAATGTCAATCTGTATTTTTTATATTTTTCTATTTGATAAATTCTACATAAATTTTTTATGTAACGTAATTTAGAGAAACAGCGAACATATAACATCGAGTTGATAAGTCGTAAAGAAATCAACGAGTGAAAATGCGAGTCGTACTTGCACATGTCATGCAGTCGTTGCATCGCGTCTATTAGGTCTTCGGAATTCTTAGCCGAGGCGGCCTTGTCCAGCTGTTTGACGACAGTCGGCCACCAAGGCAAATCGCACGGTAACATTACTAGAGCCATTGTGGATCTGCAAAACAAACGTTTGGAAAAATCATCAAATTGCGCCGCGTTTAAACAGCGCGAGTGAAAAGTTTACGTCTGTTTTTTTATTTATTTATTTATTTATTTTTTTTTTCTACAATTCAGCACGATATGCAATTTTTGATGCATTCAACGAGCGAGCCCCGTACTTTGAAAACGCGCTAATCGATTTAAATTTATAGTTGGCGTGATATGTCAAAGCTACGCGTGATGGACGCTCTGAAGTAGCGCGATCGTAAAATAAAGCCGGCGCAAGCTAATCATTCCCTCCCTGCTCATGAATCTTCCGTTTCGTAATCGCTCGACGCATTTATTACATTCGCAATGCAATCGCGATTTATTGATAAATCCCAATTTTTCTCTATAATTTGTGCAATTTTACACACAAAATTATATTCATCACGCAAAACATTCATTATCGAGAAACGTAAAAGTTAACTTGACCTTTTATATCAGTAATAGAATATCTATGCTGATTTCTCCATTTAGATATTCGACAAATTAATTATAGGATGTAAATGCTTGAATTTATTTTTTTAATAAATTTGAGATCTAAATTTTAAAATTTCGAAACACGTCAATTTCACGTTTCAATAACTCGAGTCTGTCTTCGATACGTCGAGATTTTATTACTTGGCTCTGCGACATGTGATCGTAATTAAGCGTACAGAAGTGAACTGATTTCTCTTTCTCTTTCTCTCTCTCTCTCTCTCTCACGTTTTGTCGAACTGCCCACGATCTTATCTCAAATGGATCAAATGTCACATTTGTATTCCCTCTTTTGAGAAAACGCCGTCCACACGCGTACGCAGGCGCGTATCGGGGGGTTGGCTGGTTAGTAACCTCGTCTCGCGCACGAGGCGAATATAATTAGTCTCTTTTCCCACCGGAGAGGGAATTCACCGGCGGTCGTCTGGCTCGTCATCGGACGTCACGTCGACGTGCGAATCTCCAGAGATCCACATTTACATAATCACCTTCTTCTCTGTCCGCTTCCTCCTCGCCGAATCAGCTGACGCGTATAGACCGAATTACGTCTTGTGCTCCGCCGTCGCGACGCCGCGCTCGATCACCGACAACGACTATCCCAGCACCCTAGACCCAGCGCGAGACACCGGCACATAGTCGGGTTCTCTCGCGCCTCTGATCTTTTCCGATGTCCGAATCTACTCCTCGACGTGGAATACGACCTCAGAACTTTCAGAAACGTTTGGAGGTAGAGATTTCTATCCCTCGGTTTGTCGAAATCTCAAAATATTCTTGCACCACAAAAACTCCAGAACAAATTTCGCAACTCCAGATCTTCCGTGAAATTCTCCAAAGGTTATGCGATTTTTCCAACGTCGAGATCACAAGAGCCGATGATATTCGCGTAAGTTCCGGGTGACTTCTGATTCGCGTTCGCGATGATGTCGTCGTTATCCCGCACTCGCTCGCAACCACCGGCAAAAATCGTCGATCACGCGAAATGTTTTGTGCGGTACGAAACCCTTCGCCGGCTCGATTGATCGTCGTCGCGGCCAGATCGGAGCGGAACGGCGCGGAGCAGCGCGGAGCTGAATGGCCGCACGAGTAGCCACCCGTTACTACTGCCGTCGCACCGCTCTCGCCCCTTTACTAGCTCTTCCCTTCGCCCTCCCTCTCTGTCTCTGTCGCTACTTTGTCCGCCACAAGCGGCGGTCGGCGTCGCACCCGGCTATTTATAGAAAGCGGCGCCGGCGCCCTGCCAAACTGTATGTATAAATGCGATATGGTGTAGTAAGTCAAAAATGAACCAAGTTATCTTGATCCAAACTGGATAGACAAAAGGTAGTCATGAACCGCAAGCTCTGGAATTCTGAAAAAGTCTACACACCGAACAAGCACATTTTACGTGTCAAATGTATGAAGTTTCTAATGTCAACAAAAAGACGGTCTAAAAATTTCTTAGTCTTTTCTCTTCCTTTGGTATGCAAAAACTTTGAAAAGTTCAATTTTTATGTTAATGTCAAGTTTTATATATATATATATACATAAAAACTGACATTGGATCACTGGTCTACCGGGGGTGGTTCGACACATTTGTAATATTCTAATTAAAACTATGAACAGCCTCTTTTTTCACGTTATATATTACTCGTCAAGCATTGTTTAATGATTTTAATGAAACTGCAATAAATTGAGATATTTCTAAATCAAATGTTTTACAAAATTAATAAATTTTCCGCTTATGAGAGAGCTAAGAACTTTGTTCTTTGATATTGAGGAAATATAGAAAAATTAGAATTAGTCGACGTGTATTATTGTCGAAATATACTCTATATAGAACATATTTGTACTTTTGAGCATAAATTTAAAAATAACGGGGTTTTTTTTCAACTTTGTTTAAATTTTGTGAGAAAATATCAATACGTAGAAGAATACTGCTGTACCGATAGTAGGTTGTACACAAGTGTGTTTGAAGAGAAATGCATGTATTTGCCGGATTCATTTCGAAAGTTAGTGTGTCTATATTTGCGTCATGCAATTCGAAATTATGTCGCGATTGATCGTGGGCTTTGTTCGATATCAATCAATCTTCGGTAAAAATGTATTCATTGTGTTGACTTGGCGAGAGAAAAGCTAGTAATTTGATACCAAGCTAACAGTGTGGCGAACTATTGGCAGCTCGCCATTAGCATCCTTGTGCCAGATTTACTCAACATTTACTCATAACTATTTATACGTTGTACCTACATTTGTGTACAATTTATCTTTAATATTCTACTGCATATAGCAACATTTTAAAATATACATATGTATATTTTGTAACATTTATAGTTATTACAAAACTAATCTAAAACATATATAATTACATTTTGTTGGTACAATATTTTAGAAAACAGTCGATGATATTTTTTCCAATATATGGGAAACTGTATTGACTATGTATTGTAATTTATCTATTTATATTGCAATTTGTGCAATAATTATGTATTATTACAACAGAGAATATATTTTGAAATATATTTCAAATATAATGCGCAAAAGTGTTCGTCCAATACACAAGTTAGCGTTGAGTATTGTGCTCTGTAAAAGTGAATAAATCAGAGCGTTTCGAAACATACTAAGTAGTGGGCTAAGCTTTTGGTTCGACGCGCCCGTTCGCGCGGAGATATCAACGCCCGATCGAGAGATCTCACTTAATTCGCATAATCGAATTAAACTCTCTAAAAACAAACTTGAGCGCTAGAAGTTTGTATTGTATTATACATTATTGTATTATACATTATTGTATTATACATTATTGTATTGTACATATTGTTGTATATATCATGATTTTATTACTAAAACTAAATTTAAAAAATAAACAAGAAGATCAATTTAAAAGATATATATATATATATTACTATTTTTTCGTTTTACGTCAGTTTTAACAATTGATTAAGTTTCTCGTAACAACAATTTATAGAGACTCTTTTGTATTTATGTAAAGATATATATCGCGCGGCATCTTCTGCGTTAATCTTCTCGATTACAGATAAATAAGTATGATTCAATGACTCAATAAGCAGTTACGCGCCGAACCATTATGGTCGCGCTAAGAAGAGTGTTGCCTGATTGTTATACCGACGTCACAAACACGCCAGGTAGGGAATGAAATGCGCGCGAATGTAAACACCGACGTTCACTCGACATGTTCCTCTCCAGGTGCGGAGAAGTCCGCCTGTTCGTATGCAGCACAAGATGACTATGATTCCGACAGGTGCCACCACCTTGCGGAATGATTTGCGCGTTCCTGCTAACTTAGAATTCAGGGAAGTATCGAACTTGCTGATTCTAAATTATAGATGAGAGTAATGAATAAATGCGTATAAATATATGTAACTAGAAAAAAGAATTTTCTATGTAAAATTAAGTGACTGATGATTTGCATCAGTCACGTTTCGTGGCCGTTGTCACTTTTTGCGCAAGCACCACAATTAAGAATCGCAATCATTTAGAAAGTTATTCTACAAGACGTTCAATGTGATACTTTTTTAAAATTTTAAGATATTCGACACATGCAGCTACGAAAAATAGTGTAATTGGAATTACATGAACAGTATAATCAGATAAGAGTCTATAACACATCCGGCACAACTATTTTTTTTAATCAATTGCAGGTTATAGAAGCTATAAACAATTTGTTAACTATTTAAAATTTGTCAGGTAACAATCTGAAAACTGTGAAAAAAGACTTTCAATTTTTATTTTTCAATATTCTAGCGTGTAACAAATCGCCCTGATGTAACACGGGCGCCATATTGTTGGTCGCTACTGCCCATTGCAATCGCGCTGGTACCCCACGATCCCACAACGACGATTGTATCAGAGAACTGCTGGAGAACGAGAAAGGAAGGGGTTTCCATGTCGCTTCAGTGAGCTCACGCACGTCGAACACTTATCAACGCACGGCGCCGCGCGTAAGGCGATACGTCCAAAAATGGCGTTCCTCGCGTAGCACAGCTCGTCATCGTCGTCGTCGTCGTCGTCGTCGTCGTTATTGTCGGTGTTATTATCAACACCGTCACGAGCCGCTTGCTGGGGAGCTCGCCATCCGATCCGGCGGGGCCGCGAGACGCCAGTTCCGAAGAAGAGTAAAATCCAACGTAAATACACCAGTTTGCGTGCCGCGCGTTCCTGAATCCTGCGTGCGGACAATTACGTGGGTGGTTGAATGTGTATGCATGTGCTTTTTTCGTGTATGCTCACGTATGCGTGTGTGTGTGTGTGTGTTTCCGTTGGAATACGGAATGATGAATATCCGGACGGAGCGCGTCGTAAAATTTCGAATTATCGCCGATGATACGATGAACAGCGCGCGACTCCGTTTTTATCAGATCGCATCCGTTGGAGTTGAAGTTCTCGAATAGTAATAAGATTGCGATAGATATATATTTCCGTAAGCAACATATATATATATGCATGTTGTTGAATAAAATATTTGTTAATGAGAGAACTGACACGTATCACCTGCGCGTTCAACGACTATGACTTAGACGCATTATCAAGTTTAAAACAGATCGTTATAAGTGTTTGCTGTTCACAAACTTCCGAACATTTGAGTTTCTTTTGTGAATTAAAAATTTCCGCAAGTCTTGCAGCCAAAATTTGTGACACACCGAAATACTAGTGTTATTAAAAAACTTGACGTAAAAAAAAGTTCGTGAGATCAAAAGAGAGTTTCCACATTTTGCGGAAATTCAGACATGCAAGAATAATAATTTCAGAGAAGCAGATCTCCGCGTGACTTGTGACATTTGCTAGAATATTATTCACCGGCGTGTGTCATTCCGACCAGCATAATAAAATTTCAATATCCGCTAGCTGCAATTTCGATTCGTGTCCGCCATTCACAATATACCGGCGTCTAATAAACGACACGCTATTTTGTTCACAAACTAATGAATGAAGCGGTGTTGTGTCGATGGTTGTAGACCTCACACAGATGGTGGGGATCAATCTTTCTGCTCTATTTTCTCGATTGATAAGAATGACGTGAGCAAGATTTGTGCGTGCGTGCGTGAATATATATATATATATATATATATATATATATATATATATATATATATATAGCGAGTAAAAACTTTGAGAGCAGTGAAAGTTGTTGTATATATGGCGTATCACACTTCACTAACGTGAATTTGATTTGCATTTGACGTTCACGCGCGGATGTGCGCGAAAGCCGCGATGTCTCGTTCAAATCTATCCGACGCATTATGATAAGCATCGGATAAGAACTTCTCCGCGCGCTCTGTTTATTTCTTACGCGATTAATTTGTTCTGCGATGTTTTTGTTACATTTGCAAAACGCGCGTGTCTGTGTGTTTTAATTATCAGTCGCGTCATAATTCTCTTAAACCCGAACATTCTTAATCGAATTCACTTCTTTTCGCAAACTGTTATGTAACGTGTACCAAGACACGTCGAGAGATCAATATTTATATTTTTATTAATCTTTTTATACCTTCGGTCGGCGAAATTGTGAAAAAAAAAAATCGGTGTATCGTCTGGGACGTGCCTGCGCGTCTTCGTGAATTTTTACGCATTTACGCAAGCGTCACCGGTCAGACGAGCTTTTGAGACAACAGTGATGTCATACCGCGATATATCACGCATGAAATAACTCGTCGAGCGAATTACGCATAAATAATAAACTCGCACGTTGCACGTGCGCGGAAATTGCAGCGTTTACGATTGCCATTATGTCGATGCGTCTTCTCCGCAGCAAAAAAATTTTATAACATTTTGATGTAACAAATTTTACGTACGTGTAAAAACATCAAAAATAAGCATACAAATTGCTCTCTTTAAAAAGAAAACGCCGAAACTCTCATTTCTCTCTGGAAGCGTTACAATTTTTGCAAAAGTAGTCCGTTGCGGTCTCTAAACCTTTAATATTTAATATTGCACATTGTTATTTGTTCGCGTGTGATGGATCTTGGAATGGACTTCGCGAACCGCTTCGCAATTAGCGGATTGTTTATGGCGCTTTAATTTTATCATCGGCACAAGTAGACCGTCGTGACTCAAATCAACGAAAAACATCGGTAAAAATTCTTTAAATATTGTTATTTCGTGCGGCATCAAAATGGTGCTTCTCGCGTGTCACTTCTTTAGTAATTGGTTTGAATTCCGTGAATTCAACGCTTTCTTACATCCGTTTCTCCACCTAGTTAGTTCGGGATTCATGCGAGTCGCGAAAGATTTGGTGTGTGAGATGGAAAATGAACAAACAAACAAAAAAAAAAAAAAAAAAAAAAAAAAGAAAAATGATCACGTGGCAAATTCGCGTTTATGCAACAAAACTCGGAAATATAGATTATATGCAGAGATGATCGAACGGGCATACTTCTCGCAGGTGTATTATCGGCACTTTCACCGTCGCGAAATTCACTCGCTAATTCTCCTTCGCTTTATGGTGATGTCGGCACAATGCATGACCGCCGTCGACTTTTCACCGCGGGTAAATCGAGTTTCTCGCAGTGAGACGACCTCAAAGGTCGCATTCGCAGGCCTGCTTAAGCGTTTCGCTTAAGCAATAAATTTTTTACAGTTTATTACATGTAGTCTGTGTGTCTCCCACGTGTTCTCTGATGCAATACGTTTTTTTTTTTTTTTTAAATCAAGACAATTGGGTTACAAAAATTGCAACGATAAAATTAAACGCTAGAAAAATTGTTGATAAAACACTTCGCAAAAGAGATAAAAAAAAAATGTATGCGCAAATTATTTTTGCTGCGAACGATATGATTAAAAAACAAAAAAAAAAAAGTGGAGAATGTAAAATGATAGATGCGAATTCGACGAACTTGATATCTATTCAGGTTTAACGAGTTTGCGCGATTGGTCACGCGGAGCTTTTCCAACAGGAACGCGAGAATGCAGTCGACCGAGCAGCTGCGACCGGAGCAGCTGGTGGGCCTGGTGGCCCGTTCGGCGGAGGGTACAGCCGCAAAGGGTATGCCCATCAAAGGACACGAGGATCTCTGGGTGGAGATCCAGGCTAACACCTTCCGAAATTGGGTGAACGAGCATTTGAAGCACGCCGACGTAGGCGGCGGCCCGGTGTTAGACCTCGCTGAGGACTTTCGGGACGGTACGCGTCTTTGCGCCTTGGTCGAGGTGCTCACCCAACGTCGTCTGCCGCGATGGAATCTCCGACCGGCGAATCAGCATCATCATCTGGAAAACGTGTCCACGGCACTGCAAGCTATCGAAGCCGACGGCGTTAAACTCGTCAATATCGGTGAGCAAAAAAAAATCATATTTCTCATTTTTAATTTCCTTACTTCAAAATAAAAATAACAATAAAATAAAAAGAACATTTTCCGTAGTTAACAACGTGTATAATACGTACAGCAATATGTGTGGTGTATTATAAAAAAAAACCTCAAGAAAATTGAAAAATATACAATACTGGGTAGAATCTGCTTTATTTAAATTCTCTTTGGAGATAATATGAAAGAACAAGTTGATTGAATGCTGAGAGAGTGACGCTACGCTACTGAATTTTTTTTCACACGACACGTAACGCAGAAAAATGCCACTTTTTTTATAGAGATCGACGAGAGAGAGAATTGCAAGGATATAAACGTGAGACGAAGGCCGGAGCACATCCACGGTCGCGCGAGATCGTCAAGGCGTTGCACGCGCTCTTAACGTTCAATTACGCCTCGTAATTGGAACGACCGGCGATAGCAATTCGCGTTCGATAATATATCCTGTGAAGTATCAAGTTTATCGTAATTCGTGACGGAGAGAACACTGTCTGTAAGAATTAAGTTAAGCTTCTACTGTTTCTCCGTCTATAAATACAGTCTTTATCGATTCAAATTATCTGGACATATCCTTCTCTCACATTATTTAATCTCGTTTAATCCGATGTCGGGTTCGTTCATACTCTTCATATTTCGTAATCCGATCTGCAACTGAGTTGATCATTAGCTACGGATAAATCACGTGTGGGAGACGCTTCTTCGCGTTGTTCATTAACTCTCTCTTGCCGGAGAGGCGCGGGAAAGAAGGCGCACGCGCACACACGTGAGGTGCATTATTAATAATGATATGCAATCGAAGTACGCGAGGAAGCCAGGCATTCTTCAGGTAATGAGCAATCCTTGAAGATATGCGCGTCTGTTCTTCTTCTTTTTCTTCAAAAGAAATCGCGCAAAAACCGCATGTTTTTCGACTTTTTCGATCTCAATACGCATCGATTGCTTCAAATTACTTTTTGGATGCAATACACTGTTTTTTTTGCCGATTGCTCACGTACGGGCAAATTGCCGGGTAAATTCTTATTACGCTAAAGGTAACCAATATTTTTTTACAATATTTCTCTTTCATATAATTTAACCATTTTTTCAACTTTCTCCTTTTTCGTATTTTTTTTTTTTTTTTGCGATATTCTCGGTACGTTATGTCGCTTACATTGAAAGCTTATGTTGAACTCTTTGTAACGTACAATATTATTTTATTCGTATGTCCCTAAATGTAAAGGGGATAATAAAATTTCGATATAATTATTATAAAAATCGAGAGATCGTAAACTGCGCGAAAGAGAATAATTTTTCTGCTCGGAAGTATCGGCGGCGATCCGAGCCATTACCTGGCGCACGCCGCCAGTAAAGTAATGCGGTTTTCCTCAGTGCGGTGTAGCAATCAAGAGATAGATAATATAACGCGAGCGCTGCAGCGCTCCGTACATGAGTCAGCACGCGAAAACGAAGAAGTTAATATCGTTTCAAATATACGGTTTATCATTCGCTGTCTGTTTTTCAACAAGTGTACAAAGGTTGTTCCTGTTTGTCTATCATTGAACTTTAATTTCGCATGTGACGTCGCGAAATTATAACTCGGCCGGTTTTTTTACCGTTAATTTTTTCAGATGTATGAAACAATGATTGAACTTACACACACACACACACACATATTTAAATCGCAACAACAAAAAATTGTTTTTTATTTAACGTAAATCGCGTAATCTTCGAAACCGACTATATCTCATACTCTCAAGGATCGCGATGTATGGCGCGTGTACGTGTATCTCGTGTTGATTTCAACGTGTGTATAATATATATGATTTTTTTTTACTGTTCTCCCTTTTTTGTGTCACACCATGCAGATCAGAACTTCGAGGTCATTGCCTTTCTTGTGTCGCGCTGTTGGCGCCTACGAGGCCGCTGAAAGCGCTGCCGCGCGTTGTCGTATGTGCGGCACGCATCGCGGTTGTTGGCGTGAGATTCAATTTGCGATCATGGTGCGCGGTGCGATACCGTCTCGTGAGACCGAGATGAAAGCGCGCTTATCTTTAAGAGCGAAGAACAGGCGAGTCGAAAATGACACGCTCGACGAGCAAACGAGCTCGAGTTCTTCGTTTCATTTTCTAATTGTCATATTTGCGTTCTTTGATTTATCTCTCGCGCAAAACATGTCTAATGAGCGCAAAACTATGTGCGGAATAAAAAAAAAAAAAGAAAAACAAAATCTAACGATTTGAACAATGGGCGATAGAAACTTTTTCCGGTTTCACATTATCGTAGAAAAAAAAGTTCGTGAAATCTACGAGGAGATTTGGCTTCGCAAAATTGCTAATTTGCAATTTGATGAGGGGATAATTTGGGATTTCGTACTTTCGCAAAGATTGACGGAACTACCGGAACAAGTGGTTTAAAAAAATTACCGAGTACACAAGTAGTTTGTGTGTGCTTTCTGCGAACGCGTGCGCGATACGCGTGGTGTATAACAACGGTGATGTGAGTTACGGTCGTCGGGAATTAAATCCTCAAACTTGTTCCTCAAAATCATCGTAAATCCTTTCCTCGCGCAATTACGACTGTGGAAAGATGCCGCTCGAACACGCGCACGTGTCTTTTTCTCTCTCTCTCTTTCCCTTTTTCTCATTCCTCGCGATTCCTCCGCGGAATTAAATTGCTCCTCCGTGCGTGCCAGACCGTTCTTTCCGGATAGAAGTGAGAAAATTTAGGTCGGCGATAAATCAAATTGATTATTCTTTACTTCCCGACGGTTTACCGTTTTCGACGGTTGTGTATTGTATTCGCACGAACGCTTGAAGATCCGATTCTCTTGCAGGTAACGTGGACATCGTGAACGGTAACCTCAAGCTGATCCTGGGTTTGATATGGTCGCTGATCGTGCGGTATCAAATAGGCAAATCCAAGTTCCCGCCGAGGAAGCTCATGCTCGCGTGGCTCAAGGTCGGTAGATAATAAATAAATATACGATTTTCGCATCGAGTGCACGACCTCGGTTTGTGCATCGCGACCGAAAAACCCAATGCAGAAACGCGATTACTCGCCTCCTAGTTTCAACCTCCGACGAGTTCGCGTTATCTACATTATGTTATATACGCGACTTCGTTATGAAATAGCTCGAAAATTGCACCAAACGAGCTCGGCGTATCGGATCACGCAAATTGAAAATTGAGGATTCCGCGATGTGCGCTATATGAGTTTTCTACATAGAGGCAATTTCATTTTCAGGCTGTTCTGCCGGAATGTAGAGTCAACAATTTCACAACCGACTGGAATTCCGGCGTGTATCTAAGCGCGCTTTTGGATTACTGTAAACCGGGTCTGTTTTCTCATTGGCGGCAACTTGATCCGAATGACAGGTAAAAAAAAAAAAAATAAATAAATAAATAAATATAAGATGTTGTTCTGAAAAAAACACGCATTTAATAAAAACTAACTCAAGCGTTTTTAATATGGAAAGTAAAGGAAGAAAAAAATGTAATTCAATATCAATTTAAAAAACTAAAGTTTTGCAATACACTTGAATTTTTATCAGGAATATTAATGTAACAAATGTGTCTTTTTTTTATCTCGTACATGTGTTGTAGTAGCATTACGCTTTAATTTGCAGCGTTTACAACTGCCGTAAAGCGATGGAGATATCGAAACGAGAATTCGATATTCCCATGGTGTTGGAACCCGAGTACTTGGCGTCGCCCTATCTGGACGAGCTCTCAGGGATGACCTACTTGTCGTATTTTATGAAGGAAGGCTCACCGGGCTTCCACGCAACGCTGCGATGGGTCAATTCGCAATTATCTCATACCTCAATACGGAATTTCACGGTGAGTGGAGTTTAGTGTGTTCCGGTTTAACACAATATCTCACCGGTGATATTCGATTGTTTTGCAGACGGACTGGAACGACGGCAGAGTTTTGTGCGGGATTGTCAGAAACTTGGGTGGCCCGGTGCCGTCCTACGAAAAACTCGATACAGATCTGTCCGCGTGGGAACACAACCTGCAAATGGGTAAGAAATAACATATATATAAATGTAAATTTTTTCCACGGATTAAAGTATGTAACATCAAACAATTCGATGTTGATTTGCGTTTGGTTTCTTTCTAAGGTATCGATGGCGGCAAGAAATTGGGTGTGGAACCAATTTTAAAAGCGAAAGACATGGCGGACCAGAATGTGGAGCATTTAGGCGTGATGGCTTACGCGGCTTACTTTCAGTGGGTGAAACCTCGTCCTCAAGCGAGCCGACAAATCGCCGTGCATATCGACAGCACATCCGCTCGAGTGCAACAGCCGGTTGGTTATTAAGTCATTGTTTGTTAATTGCACCCCACTTTGCTCCACCTCTCGGCGGCTAATCAGCGTTCACGAATTTTAACGTTAAGTCGCAACTTCTTCTTCTGCATCGTCATTCCCATTTCAGTTGATGAAACACTCGCAAAGCTTTCACTTCGAATCCCATCCCGTTTATATTGTTGTTACTTCGACAAGTGACAGAGTTTGATTTGATTACACAGGCGCACTTCAAGTTGGAGATGCTCACCAAAGATGTAAATATGAGAGAAGTGCGAGGAGAAATTATCAGTCCGTCCGGACGTGTGGAGTGCAGACTCACGTGGAGCGGAGTTCACGGCAAAGGCACTTTCGTACCCACGGAAGTTGGCATGCACAAGGTTCGTCATCGAAAAGGCAGCACGTAACTTTAAAAAATGTTCTATAATTTACAGTTATATAAGTTACACTTTTATTATAAGTTTATTAAGTTTATTAATTTACCCCGAAGAAATTTATATTAAAATTTTTTAATTTTAAATTTTAATCCATGAAATTTGTTTAATTAAAAATGTTTATTACCCAGTGCGTGGAATTTATTCTGATATATTTTAAAGATAGTTGTTTAAAAAATAATTTAATGTGCACGTTACGCGTCACAGTTCAATGTCAGTTATCTTTTATGTTGTTTAAACTTCTTTTTGATTTTTTTTTTCAGTTAATGGTTTACAACGACGGTGAACTAGTAAATGGTTGTCCCTATTACTTCAGGGTTTTGCCGCCGCTAACGAAAATCAAATCTCCGGGTATGGATCCTTGCGCTATAGGATCTATCGTTGAGGTTCTAGTCAACAGTTACGGTAAACTTTCGAAAAATCACAATATTTATTAAATTAATACGAAAAAACAACTTAAGAATCAAACGCAAGATGTCAAATATACATTATACGAGTGTAATAATATTAAATTAATTTACATAATAATTATTTTCAGTAAATTTACAACACATTTATTCAAAATTAAAACGTTGAAATTTCATATTTAGGAACTAGTCATGATGGTATCGACGTTACCGCGTGGTCTCCGACCGGTAGGTCACTTCCGTGTCCCGTCAAAGAAAAGGACGGCGTGCACACGGCGACTTTTCAACCCGACGAGACGGGAGAATGGAGCATCGCGATAACGCATAAGGGAAATCACATACAGGGAGGTCCTTTCGCTTGTTTCGTGTTTGATCCCAACGGAATCAAGGTATGATTAGCAACATAATTTATTTATCAGTTTATAGATTATTTTGTTGTCTACTTTATATTCTCAATCATTTTTTATTTTTTTATGTTATGTTATACTAGCTTTTAGATACGGACGGTGCCATGCCTGGACAACCGTTTTCTTTTATCGTTGACGCGCGAGGAACTGGCGGACTGGGTGACGTGATTATCGATATCGTTCACGATAAGCAGTCGGTATCTTACAGACTGGAGAACTTCGGCCACATGCAGTATCGGGTGTCCTTCGTGCCTGGCGACGCGGGCAAATATCGGGTGTACGTGTACTTCAACGGTTCGGATGTGCGCGGCTCGCCGTTTTCCATACGCGTCGGCACGCAGAAGGGCTCGCACAGATCAAGAGAGTCAACATCCAGCTTGGAACGGTCCAAGATGTCGTCGCTGGAACGACGAATGAACGGACTGAACGTCTCCTCAACGGAACGAATCAGTCCGACTCAGAAGATTTACACCACGACCGCGTACAAGTCCATCAGCCCGACGCAACGCGGTTATTCGCCCATTCATCAAACCAGCCCGAGCACGTATAAGACAACCGCCAGCAATTACGTCACCGAGAACTCCACCAGCTCGACTTACCACAGCAACTCGCTAAATCGCACGCACTCGCCGATTCATCTCAATCACAGTCCGGTGCAGAGGAATGCGCACAGTCCGTCGGTGCTCAAAGAGACGAAGGAAATCTACAGCAGCAGCAGTAGCGCGTACAATCATCGTTCCAGATCGCCCAATCTGCAGAGTCCGAGTTTCATCAAAGAGTCCAAGGACATTTACTCGTCCAGCACGTTGAACAGATCGCGATCTCCGGACCTCAGCAGTCCGACAGCTCATGTTATCAAGGAATCCAGGGAAATCTACAATTCGGGATCTCTGAAGAGATCGCGTTCACCGACACGAAGTCCGTATCGCAGTGCCACTCAGAGTCCTGTTAATCGCAGCTTCAGTCCGAGAACTGGCGACAGAGACGCGATCTACAACAACCGGCGCGGATCCACGGACAACGGCGTCGTGGACACCAGCAGTAACGTGCGTGTTTCCTCGATGGTGGGCGGCAATTCCAGACGCGATTCCTGGGACGCGATCGCCAAAACGAGATCGCTCCTGTCGTACGGTAGCTTAGAGTCGCTCGCGAATCTAACGAACAACTCGCCGACGGCGGATAATCGCGTTGACAGTCCGAGTAATCATTTTCTGAACAACAACAATTATAAAAACGCGCAGAGTTACTCCACCTTCAAGAACACGTCATCGCACTCCGCGACCACAACAACGAATTACTCGTCCGTGCAGAAATCGTCGAGTCCTGACTACGGGACCGGAGTGCCGAAGTACGGCAACGACGGCCAGACAGCCGCTCGCACGCACGGTATCCTCAAGAACAAGAACAACAACTATTACAGTAAAAGCGTGGACACGACGGACGGCACTGTGACGCACGACCGATACCTGAATAACGGCGGTACCGTTTACGTGCCCGCCTCGTCGGCTAAAAACGGCGCTTCGGCGGTCATCGCCACCGGAAACGCACTGGAAACATTACCCGTGCATCGACCGACCACTTTCAGTATCAACTCCGGAAGCGTGGACCCCAACAAGGTGTCCGTCACCGTTACCGGTGAGTTTCAATTCCTTCGAAACCGCCAAAGTACGTCGAGAAGACGCGAATGCACAATAAAAAGCCTCGCGCTTTCTCTTCTTCAGGTCCCAACGGTAAAACCGTGCCGGTGCAGAAATCGAAGCTGCGGGGTTTGATGTACACTATCACCGCTGATGAAGTTGGCGAGCACGTCATTCAAGTGTTGGTTAACGGCCAACACGTCAAGGGATCGCCTTTCAGGTTTGCTCAAACAAATCCACGTATCTTCTTTATTACACGTGACTTTTATCTGTCACGTGTTTTCTCCTCAAAACCGCTGATCGTCGGTTCAATGTCTTTGAAGAAAGCTTATTGAATTATAAAGCGAAGATTCGTCTCTTTTGCGTCTATTCTATATTCTTAAATATTACGGTTAAACCAAGCACACTTTTGAATTAATTATTAAAATAAATGTTATTGCTATATATAAATCATTGCAGATCGCAAGCTTACAACGCTCGAGCTATACAAGTTGGAAACATCCCGAACGGAGTGGTAAACCAGCCGGTAGAATTTGAAAGTACGTACGTCTCTGACCGTGTGCACCATCTGGCGAAACTGTACAAGTGTACTTGATAATGAAAGATATTTATTCGTTGTTTTTTTTTTTTTTTTTTTCAGTCGACGGGTCAAGAGCCGGCTCGGGAAACTTGGAGATCCTCGTAAACGGAGGACACGTCACGAGTTTTGTGAGAGCGCTGGGTAGTCAACGTTTCTTGGCATCGTTCGTGCCACATGAGGCTGTCGCGCACTTGGTAGAAATGACGTTCAACGGGGAAGTCGTTCCCGGTGAGTTATTTTTGCAATTTAACACTCGAAACTCTCGGAGTGTCTCGTTGAGCAACAAGAAAGAGAGAAAGAAAGAGAAAAGAAAAGATTATCTTCGAAAATGTTCGAATTCGTTTTAACGTTAAGCGTGTAATTACACACATTTCTTATGAGTGCAAATAACGAAGCAAAACTGTTTTTTGTCTTGTTAACATTAATAGTTAGAACAGCCCATTGGACTTCGAACGAATCTCGTTCTCCGAGTTGTTCGAAGTGATTCTCTTGCAGCGTGAATATCTTCATTTTCACGGTGCGACTTTTAGCGAGCGCTTCTTTCTTTCGTCAGATTCCGATGTGCCTTCGGCACTTCTCTCTCTCTCTCTCTCTCTCTCTCTCTCTCTCTCTCTCTCTCTCTCTCTCTCTCTTTCTCTCTTTCTCTTTGCTAGAATAAATTCCTACGGCGTAAGTCGCGAATAAAGCGCGCGGCACGCGTGCGCACGTGCACGGACACAAGTATTCTCATGGAATGCATGATAGTCTCTCTCTGCCCCGTCGCTATTAAGGAAGCTGGAATGCATACACACACCGTTAAAATCGTATTTAAAAGTGCATTCGCGAATAATCCAAACAAGTTGCGGAAAGACTTGTTAAATTTAAGTAGCTGTAATGTCCAAAACAAAAAAAAACTTGAATTTTAATACGTTGACAACACAATCGGTCAGTAATCTTTCAGTCCTTGCATATTAGAATTTTTTCATATATTTTTTAAATATTTGTTTTCAAAAACAAAAAACAGCGCCAGTGATCGAAATCATATATTACGCGTCACAGATCAAGTTACTCGGACACAGTTGAAAATCGCAAAGTTTTGATTCTTTTTATAAAATCAAGTTCAAAACAAAAAAAATATGACGTGTTGAGTTTAAAAATCAGCCACAAAAGTGTTTAGAGAAACGTTACATTTATTTTTGTGCCAAACGAAACAGCATTGACACAAATCTATCTTGAGTTCCGTCATTCTTCGTCACGTCAACTATATATATATATATATATATAAGTATATACGTATAATACTTGCTTGTCTTTTCTCACGCGCGAACACAATGTAAGTACGCGGCGCGGCTCGATTTTATCGTGGAAATCATTCTCTCGCTATTACGCCGCGTTGTTTTTCTTACGACCTTTAGCACCAACCGTCGCTACACATTCGCAAAGGTTATTCGTGTATCTCGATTTCCGACGGCAATCGCACGAACGCGATCGGAGAAAAGTGACGTAAGTGACTTCCGGTATTCTCCCCGCGTTTAATTCACGCTTCGCGGTAATGTTTTTTTCTTTTTTTTTGAAACGGCCTCCGCAATCCGCGAGCGACAGCTTGCAAAATCTCCGCGCAAATCTTGCTCAATACGAGGCGCGTGCTGAAGCAACGCTATAAATATACATGGCGGTTCTTCAGAAACGAGAAAAACTTCCTTGTATACTCTTGTGTTACGTGGTACTGTCCTCTCAAAACATTTGAATTGTTTTCGAGAAAAAAAAGTTTTCTCTTCTATTAATTTTTTGTTTTCTGCAATTTTTTCACGTTTCCCCGCCGCATCGTAAAAAAAATTCTTCGGTTGGCGCGCGGACGCGTGTAAATTATCGCACTTTTCCGATATAGACGAGCGCCTTTGATCTCCGCCACGTTTTCAATTGCTTTGCATACTTTTCCGTTCGGAGAGACAGAGAGTTTCATTGGGAAAGTATACACACACGCGCGGTGATCGAGTTCATCCGTGTCTCAAGGCGCGCGCGCGCGCGCGAAGCAAACGTGGTCTCTAAGTCAGCAGGTCATCAAGCAGGTTGTTGACTTGTACGATTTCACACATTCCGTCCCACTGACCTATATACGACGTCATTATTTCTTTCGGTTTCCTGAACGAATTTTTTTTCCGTTGCTACCTTGCGCGCCGTTACGCTCGCGTCGTCACAATGCGAGGTCCGTGTGCTATGATCCACGATATGCGCGCGCGAGAAGTGACGCGTTTGTCTCTCTCTTTCTCTCTCCCTCTCTCTCTCTCACGTTCATTTAAACTTGAAACAACGCTGTTTTGTATATCCTTGATCATAAAAAGAGTTACATAAAAGTGCACGTATTGTAATATTGTCTATCGTAATTAGTAAGAAACACTCACCGCGTGCAATATGTGAGGTGGAGTAGCGGACTAAAAGTCGTGAAGCTGCGTTCACACATTACTTCTAACCGCAAATAATTAAGTCAGGATATTTATATATCCGATGTCACGTTGCGTTATTTTTATTTGTTCGTCATTCAAGCCGAATGACGAGTTGCTGGAGAAACTCAAACATTTTTTTCTTTTTTCACCAGTGACATTTTTGCTCTTTGAAGAGATTCAAGAATGCAACGTCGCTACGCCATTGGGCGCGCGCGAACAATATTATTTTGATGCCGTGCACCACACGGCGCGCAACTTCGCAACCGTGACTTCGTGTTCACGCAGGAGGGAAGCAGCAGAATGCCCTCGGTCATAACCACATCATTACGTCTATTCTTTCGTTTCGCGTTACATAAGAATTCCGAGTCGAGTTGTCTTCTTCTTCGCGCGTCGCCATTTTTCGATACTCCCTTTCGTCGCGTCGCGCAATTTTATCTTTCGTTCCCGTTTTTCGCGCCTAATCATCTCGCGCGAAACCGTATATCGCTATCTTTTTAATTGCGGAAATCAATTGCCATCTATACTGGAATATCCATTACCGAGATACATACTATTGCGTAATGCGTCGAATGCGTTCCTCTCCGATCGATATTTCCCTCGCATCCGCTATGGAAATTGCGCATGGAATATGAGCGCGCGTAATGAATACCGTGTGCGATCCGTAGGTGTGGTCGCGAAACCCATGTCGGAGTGCGGACGTATTTGGTTACGACTGAGGATACGCACGGCCGCTACCTACGTGAACACAAGCGTAACTCGGAGCACGTGGTCGTACATATCTTGCAACATCTCACTAATTTCTATATCACAAAACCCTTTGTATTACACAGGAAACGTTTCTGTGAAATTCATACCTCACTTATACTCGATGCGATATAACAACGACGTTCTCGCGTCGTTTTTTTTTTTTTACAAAAATACGTTTACAATCGTAATACATAAATAATAATATACAAAAAATTAGAGATAAAAATAAATAAGAATAAATAAAGATAAAAAACAAATAACTCGCGAAGTTAAATAAATCAAAGATTAGATCATCACGCAAAGACAAGTGGTGGAATTGGAATTGCTCATCGAGAAAATTGCTTAGGCAGTTTTTTAAACGCTTGCTTGCATTCCAAGGATCTCATTTGGTTTTGCTTCCTTTCGTGTAATCATACATCGGAGCGAACACGCACGCGAACCGTTATCATCGATCGGAAACGTAGGCGATTGCTTTTTTTTTTTTCTTTACGCGACAACCCGTAGAAACGCACCAGAACTTACCTTTGCCGTAGGGTAGAGAAACAGCGCGAGTAGCAGACGAGCAAAATGTATGTAAATATATTACATTATTTGAAACGCGTGATAGTCGATTTGAATAAAACGTGAATTTACTTCAGAGGCTTGAAACATAAACCGAGATCTAAATTGTATCTTAACAGGTGCTATTTTTTTTAAAAACCGCGTTACGCTCCGTAGATTTTCGTTTTAACTCAAGCACCTCGATAATAAGCCGCCAACTTTAGTGTGTAATTAATAGACCGATGCCCGAGCACGTGTGCTCGGTCGACTCGCTCGAGTAATCGCGAAGTGGATTTAATTTTTAAACGGCGTTTCCGTATCTTTGTTCAAGGATTCAGCAAGGACTCGAGGATGCAATACTCCAAAAATATTGATCGAAGGCTGATCTAACGCAATAAGTCAGTCTCTCTGTTTCGATTGTCGAAATACGCGTAACTTTATTGACGCAGAATGTACGTAAACTTGTCTTGGTCAGATTCGTATGAAACTTGTCCCCGGAAAACATTTTGAACAAATCGACGAAAGGTCAATTGCGCCATTCGAGATTTCCATATCCTTGTCACCGTCGATAATAAGTGATTTCAACGAACGGCAGTTGGCATAAATACGCAGCCGTGTACATGTGCAAGTATCACCCGTTTTGGTCGATGTGATCGTGTTTTAATAACGGCGATCAATTGATTACGCTGCATAAAGTGACTCTTGATTAGGTTTTATTGTTTGCTTTCTCGACATACGGGATGTCTCGAGACAACAATATTATTGAGAAGTATTTCTCATTCGTTCCTCTTTGCCGAGAGTTTAAGTGGAGTTAAAAGTTTTATACACGCAAATGTCAATGGATATAAAAAATTTATTGCGTTTCTTTATTGTGTCTATTTATTGTACATCTTATTTTCTATAACAAGAAATCTTCGTATAATTAATTGTTTAAATTAAAATTAATTAAAATTAATTGTTTAAATTAATTGTTAATTTAATTTAAATTCAAATTTATATAAATAACTGCTTAAAACAGAACTGCTTAGATTAATAAAAATACATTTTTTATGTGTTCAGATTATTTTTTAAATTGTTTTCTACTTTTCTCTTACAAAATTTGCAATTATATTTACCTTGTCGATCGGAACACCTTATATGTTTTATTGATACACGTAACGTGATTAGAAGCCGTAATGACTCAGAGCTGCAGCTGTTCGTCTGTGACTCGACCACGCTTCAAGATACATCAGCAAACATACTATCCACTTATGCTTATATTTTATTTCAAAAATTGTACATATCTCCGATTACATTTACATTTTCTTTCTCTCATTTTGCTCGAACAAAAGTTGAACGATTAGAGCAGGATTATAAATGAGCTGATTAACATTAGAACGTAGAGATAATTTATGGAGATTCAACGTTCGCGACCCTCAATGTGTCAAAGATGCGACCTTGAAACTTTCGATAGAATGATAGCGCCGGAAAATTTTTCGGGAATTTTAAACGCGCGTGCGACTTGAATGATGGACGAGAAACCCGTTATGTTGGGGAATGCCGTGATTCACGGTGCACGACCACTTCTCAGCGCACCTTCTGTCGCCAGGAATTCAGTTGTGGGTACACACCTCGCTATAAAAACTCACTATAAAAAAAAAGAACACGTTATATTCAAATGTCGTAATCGGAATTTTAATTGCACTCGGCGATCACACGAATGTAATCGTTGGTGATAAAACGACGCGCATTACAAAATTGTTTACAATTTCGAAAACACAAATTTTTCTGTCGACTTGTACTTTCGTAATTAATTTACTGCTTATATTCTATTTCGTAATTGATCTTCTGTTATCGCCAAAGTTGATACACGTACACGTGTATTTCGATGCTCGACAAATCATCAGTTAGTAAGAAGATACGTTTCTACAAGAGGTGATGTAAACTACTTCCGCGTTTTGAGACTTACATTTTCACGTTTCTTTGCCGTCACAAGGAATTTGGTAAGAGAGACAATAAAATCTACTTTTATAGTCACCAGCTGTGATTTACTTTACGACTGAAATTAACAACTTTAACATCTTAATTTATGTCGCACACGATATGTGATTACGTGACGCTCCAAAAAGTAAGCTGCGTTCTTTATGACAGACACACACATATCGGTTATTAACATATCACATTACGTAAGAGTTCGAATGCACGAGGAACAGTTTCTCTATTCAAGCGTCGAATACTTTTTGTATAAAATTTTTAATATAAGATTTTTTTGCCCGATAATATGTTATACAAAACATATAGAGAGAGAAATGCAAATTATAAGTTTTAAAAAAACCGCATTGGGGAAGTGATTCAAAGGAGAGACTCTTTTTGTTTCTTACGAGTCTTCGCTCGTGACATCCACGTTGTGCGAGTAGACCACGCCGAGTTTTCTATTTACGCTCAGCTCGAGGATATATTGAAATACGCAGATCTGGGCATCTCGCAAGATGGTATGGACCGTAGCCGGTCGGACGAGTAAGAAATGGATGGTGGTTGTGGATGTATCATGCCGCTTTGAGGCCCCGCGCGATTAAGATTTCTCCTATAACACACCTACATATTGCGTTCGCAAATAGACTGTAATAATGAACGTCGCATGTGTTGCCGAACGTGGACTTTCAAATGCAACGCGATGTTTCATGTGTTATAAAAAGTGTGTCAATAACACATACGTGCAAACGTAATTGACTAATAGATGCAAAATTGGAGAAAGTAAAAATGTCTCAATTAATTGAGTGATCTTTTAAAAAAACATGTGTGGAATGATCCATTTGAAAAAATTCAGTTTTTTAAATTCAATGTGTTGTTGATTGTAAATTTTTATTCGCGTTACTCAATTATTTTCATGCGTTAACTCTCTTATGATAATTTATAAGTTCTGAAAGTTGAAAAAAAAAAAAACAAAGTTAAAAACAAATATCATTTGTCAAATATGCGTGAAAAAATGACGGCTAAGCGCGTTAAGTTTTTTATATTTAAATACAGTTGTTTCTCTACAAAACTAAATGGAGAAAACTTGCATAAAAATTCATGTCTCATGTTTAGTTGCAAATTAAATTGGCAATTAAGAAATCTCTCCCGTACTTACTGGAAATACAGGTCATGCATATCATACAATCGACTTTCTTTATCGGCGACGGGGGTCAAACAAGCTGTTGTTCACGCACGTTAGCGCTTACGGCCCTGGATCTGGGCCCGATGCGATGTGGTTGGGGCACACACGTTCGCTCCGTCGTTCAGCTTGGTCGAGTCCACCGCGTTGTGTTGTGCGAACCACGTTCGCTCCGTTTTCTTTGCTTCGAACTTGTTCGTGCGCCTGTGCTCTGTGAGAAATTTCTGCGTGTGCGTGTGTTTTGCGCACTTTTCGAGAAGTGTCCGCAAGGTGTCCGTCGAGGATCTCATCTCGGTTTTGTGATCCGCATCGCGTGATGCAGCTGCGAGAAGCTGCGACATCGCGATCGTCGCCTGCAACAGGCTGCGTTGTGCGCAACGAACGAGCCAATTTCGCAGCGAAAACCACGCGGCCTCGAGAGTGAGAAACACCTTTCGGTGTCGTTCTCTTCTTCACCGCGTCGGGCCCGCACGAGATCCTAACGAAGCGGAATCGATGCGCGCATGCGAAGCGCCTCGTCCGTATGCGTTTTCACCGACCTCCTCGAGGATTTAACTCGAACCCAGTTCTACTCCGTTCTTTATTTTCTTTTATCCTTCTTTTCATAATCTAGGTTCTTCCAGCGTATTTTTCCAGGTTTTCTTCCGCGTCTGCGAATCGCCGAGGTAATTAACGATCGATAATTAAAGCACACTCGGATGCATTCGACGGATTGAGGTTTCTCAATGCGGATAAAGTCACGCGAAAACAATTTGTACGTGTCATTTCTGACAAGTGAAAACATCAGCGTGAGACTTTCCCTGTATTTCTTCTCGGCGTCAAAAAAAAATTAAACTCTTTTGAAAATTGAATCAACTAAATTCGTTTCGCGCGACGTCTTGACTCGACAGTGATTTAATTATGCAAACGAACGAATTTTGTTCACCCGGTTTCGCTGGGAACTGGTTTTGACAAGCGGTTTCGTTTGCGCGCGTGGCAGGAAGGTTAGAGGAATCGAGTTCGCGTTGCGAATCACGTTGCACTTCCGGAGATCTGATATTTAATTCGAATCGACTGATCGATGGCCTGTATATCGAGCCCCCCCCGTCGGATATTATAATCGCAGAGCTACGTTCAAAACAGCGCCGCCCGAGTGTGTTTTCACATGTGACAAATGAGCGTGGGAAGTGAAACCGCCGTATAAAACTCCACATCGTTTCGTTTTAATGCGTTAATTAACTGGTCGGTTATCAGTTAATGCGTTAATCGACCGCTCGCTTTGCGAGCAAATTGACCGACAAATTGATGACTCTTTTTCTCTAATAAAAAAAAATTATCATAAAAATCTGACAGTCTCTTTTATTTCGAGAAGACTGCTTGAGAAACACGTAAAAAATAAAATACATCCTAAGTTAAACAACATTTTTGATAAAGAAACTATTGCAATAAAAATATTTGTGTGTGTGATTATAAAAAGTCTTTCTTATCTGCATTAAAATAGTGTATAATTTTATTTCAAAAATTTTATGTTAAAAAGAGTTAATTGTATTTAATTGCTAATTATTAGGATCACCTTGGCGAGTTGGCATCATGCCTGCACCGAAAATGTCAGTGATCGGTGATTCCATCAGGCTGGTTCCTGCTGGTAGTCCCGCTGTTTTCGAACTGTCCGCACTAGGCTTCAGTAGCAAAGAAATAGACGTCCAGATTATAAGTTAGTGTTACTTGTTAATTTATATTTTCTTATTTTTAAAGAAATCTATACGAAACAAGTATATAAATCACATAATTCATAAATTATAGCACCTTCCAAAAGACACATTCCTGCAAGAATTAATGAAGAACCAGGACGATCGGGTGAATTTCATGTGGAATTTACTCCTACTGAAGTGGGCAGTCACCTGGTGGAAGTGAGCATCGCGGGACAAAAGCTACCGGCAGGACCTCTCGTCGCCAAGGTGTACAACAGTAGTCTAATCCAAGTTACTGACGTACCTAGCGCAGTAGTCGGCCATACTTGTCAATTTAGAGGTAAAGTATAGGTCACATTATATATATATATATATAATTAATGTATTCATAACTTATTTTTAATATGTGTAAAATTGTACATATACAGTGGATGCCAGCGCTGCCGGAGAAGGTCAGCTAGAAATCTCCATAAACGAGGGAGAAGTGCCTAATCACGTTCAAGTAGTTGGCGGTGGCCGTTGTCTAGTATCTTTCACTCCTGAAGTCGCTAAACCTCATTACATCGACATCATGTTTAACGGCGAAGCAGTACGTGGATGTCCATTTGTCTGCAACGTATCGGACACCAGCAGAGTCACGCTAAATCTGAATCATTTAGAATTAATTCCAGTGGATCATCCTGCGAGTTTCTACATGGAAGTCGATGGCAAAGACGAGGCGGAAATAGCGGTTTCTGTGAGAGGTTTGTAGAATATTTAAATATATCAACCTCTAAAATTGTGTTACAGAAAGTGTAATTTTGTAATGTGAGCTTAATGATTTAGGACCCAATAGTGAAGTGCCGGTTAAAGTTACTGGTGATACAAATAGCGGCTTCACCGCCGAGTTTATACCGAGAGATGTAGGTGTACATTCAATTAGTATAGAATACAACGGTTATCCTGTGAACGGCACGCCGTTTTCGGCTAAAGCGTTCAACGCGGATAAAGTGCTAATCGGGCCTGTAGCCAGAGGCAGTGTTGGTCAACCAACTCACTTTACTGGTAACAGAATTAGACGTTAAATAAACACATTGAGGAATATAAATGAGGATTTACTTGACGCAATTTTCTTGCTGACAGTCGACGCGAGTCAAGCTGGTGAAGGAAATTTGGAGATCACGATATCGGCTCGCGGTCAGAACATACCGACACAAGTGACGCCGCAAGGAAATGCGCGTTTCTCCGTTAGCTTTCTGCCGTTTGAAGCTTGCGAACACGTTATCAACATAGCATTCAATAAGAAAACTGTGCCCGGCTGTCCTATCGTAACACGAGTGGGTGGCGACAGTCACGTAACTGTGAGCGGACAGGCACTGAGCAGCGCTGGATTAGGAGAGCAAAGCTATTTGACCGTCAGTAACGTCGCCGGTAGCTTGGAAGACTTAGAAGTTAATGTTGAAGGTAAATATTGCATGTATTTAAACATTTGTATAAGATTTATTGCACTTGTGTTGCTTTGTGTTTGCCCTTTTCACGCGCGAAACACATTTTGCTCGATCAAAAACCTATTAAACTGGGTAAAAATGACAATATTTTATAGAAAATTATATCTCCGAACAAACATCGCGCTGTGAACATTTATAAATGCACGTAAACTCACACATATATGTATAATTGTCATCAACAACAATGCACAAAAGCATCTATGTTAATTCACCTTGCACCTTAATGTCGGAGGGATTTTTCTGTTTTGTTCTTAACGCTGACACAGAACGTGATTCATTGATACATACTATATATATATATATAATTGATCATGGATATATTCCATATTTTTGTGGGATTCGTTTCATCTGTGTGTGTCCCGTTTAATCTCTACAGCTCGAGAGCAATTCCTCTGTCTCTCTGTTGCAGGTCGGCCACCTTTCAGACTACGACATTACTAGACTTCTCAAAAAAAATAAAAATAAAAATAAAAATAAAACAAAACTAATCTCGCTCTTATCTATAATTTACGGATTCTAAGACGGTGGTGGGTGTTCCTAACTTAATCTTTTGACAATCTTGGCGTAGTTTGTTTTTTTTTTTCCACCGTTCTCTCTAATCACATGCATTTCTCTTGCTCGTTGGTTACTCTATCGCGAGGGCTTGATTTGGAGTTCTACTTGATTGTGGGGAAAATCGTGTTTAATATCTCATACTGCAATTTCTTTCCCCCCTTCTCCCCCGTTTCTCTTGCGTGCTCGCGAAAAATGCACTCGACCTGTGTGGTCAAAGCCATTCTCACGGTGCTATACATTAATTTTTTTTTTAGTTGTATATTTTAAAATCGTTCCACACAGTACAAGTATGCTACACCTCTCTACATCGAGATCTGTCAGTAAACGTGCCTTAACAAAAAATGTGCCAATATAAATATTTTCTAATATATATTTCTATTCTTTATATTATATAACTGTCTATCTATCTATCTCTCTCTCTCTCTCTTTCTCTTTCTATAGTATAGATTCGAATTACATCAAATTTGATTTCGCGCACGAACAAGACCACTGTATAAAACAGTTTTATTTTTGACCTAATGTAACACACACTCGGAGCGTGTAATGGTTTGTTTTTTCTTCCGATCAGCCAAGCATGCTACAAAAATTAGAAGATAATCCTTTACATTAGTTGTCTCTACATGCGTCCAGTCAGAAACGAATTAAAAAGTAACGTTGATCCCGAACGAAAAGCTTTCTTTCATTAGTCACGCAGTAACAATTATATTTTTTTTTTTAATCATAGCTCCATTCGTAGTCGGCTTTTCTTTTTTTAACGTTGCTTCTATCGCGATTAATTGAGAATCATGTGTAACGAACGTCAGAAGCAATTTGGACGTGCGCGATTTTCTCCGCTGGCCGCTCCGGGCCGCTGATGATCCACCCTGAGTAGATGGCTGACTTTAGAATGATTTATTAAACGACTAACCCGCCGGACTTGATAGGGCCCAACGGACAGGCCGTACCTGCTCAGGTCACTGACAACAAAGATACAACATGCACCGTCGCGTTTACACCGAGAGTTGTCGGCGAGCATCGAATATCGGTGAACCACCGTAATATCCCGGTGGTCGGCAGTCCTTTCAGCTGCAAAGTGTACGATGTCACCGCGATAAAAGTGAAGGACGCCAAGCGTGGTGTTATCGGCATTCCCGTAACTTTCCTGGGTATGTTTTTTTTTTACATACATCGTGCGTTAATTAATTATATCGCAAAAAATAAATTTTCGCGCGTAAAAAAAAAAAAAAAATCTGTTCGCAATTCCTGTTCTCCTCAGTCGAAACTAGTCAGGCGGGACCGGGAAATCTGGAGGTCACTGTGAACGGTGGACGAGTACCGACGTCGGCTCAGGGACAAGGTCCTCACACGTACGCGATCTCGTTCACACCCCGAGAACCGATTGTGCACACTGTCGATCTACGATTTAACAATCAGGTCGTGCCTGGTAGTCCGTTCAGCTGTCAGGTACTGATTACTTTTTTTGTTTTGATAATTAAAACACATTCTCTATAAAAAATCTCTCATTCTATGTTGCGTATATACTTTATAAAATATAATTTTATAATGATTATTCGAAACAATATATCTATTTGAACTATATTTAGGTCAGCGACACGGCAAAAGTGCTCATAACTGAGGGACTCGAGAAAGTGTCTGTGAATCGTGTCGCAACCTTCACAATACAAGCTGACCCATCTTTCGGCAAGCCCGTTGTCGAAGTGCTCTCTCCCACAAGAGAAAGTCTACCGGTACACATCAAACAGAACAGTAACGGCAATTACACCGCCGGATTTACTCCGAGGGATGTTGGTGGGTGTATATAAAGCAAATTGTATGGGAATATTGTGGAATATTGTGGCTTTTAAATAACTGTATGTTTCACAGGCGATCACAGTGTCGAGGCAAAACTCAGCGGAACGCACGTGGAAGGCAGTCCGTTTCTTGTCAAAGCTTACAACGCCGATAAAGTCAAGGTGACGGATATAAATAACGGAGTTGTCGGCAAACCGGTATTCTTCAGCAGTAAGATCATTCTTTTCATGTTAAAAATAAATTTTCAAATCAAATTTTAATGTGCGTCGCTTAAAAGATTATATGTATAATACATCTTTTATTTTATTCGCCAACTCAGTCAATGCCAGTCAAGCTGGAGCTGGAAATCTGGAAATTATAGTCGCGGTTAACGGCAAGAACGTGCCGAATTATGTACAAAGTGAAGGTAACGCGAAGTTTCGAGTCAACTTCAAACCACAAGAAGCCGCCGTGCATAGTCTTAGTGTTCGTTTTAATGGAGAGCCGGTTCCAGGTGCGAACAAAATCGATCTTCTCAGTCTCGTATTATATTTATAAAAATAATAATAATAATAATAATACCTTCAGCTTGTTTAACATTAATAATTGTTTTGATATCAGGTTCGCCGTTCAGCTGCAAGGTTGTAGGCGCCGGTCAAGCGACAGTTTCCGGTCACAATTTAAAGATGGGCGCGGTGAAGAGATTGATCTCCTTCACCGTAGACCCGCAGGCTTCTTCCACAAATTGCGACGTTATCGCGATGCCGCCGTCGGGCATCGCGCTACCTATCACCATCGAGCCCATCGACGGCAAGTACAACGTAAGCTTCATGCCCACGGAAGTTGGCAGGCACAACATCAGTGTTCTAATAGACGGCGAGCCGATCAAAGGCTCTCCGTTCGCTTGCAATATTTATGATGTGACTAAGGTAAATCTCGTGTTATGCGATACGATGTTTGATTGTTTTAAATATACTGATGTGTAATCGTGACCGAGGGGGATTTTCTCAGGTTCACGTGTCCGGACTTACGGAGGCCTTGCTCGGCCAGGCGACTACGTTCACCGTCGACGCCGCGGAAGCTGGCGAAGGAACGCTGGAGCTGGTGGTGAGTACGGAAAACAACACTGTTAAAGCCGAGGTCGTGGCCTGCGCCCGCGGACTGTACGACGTCACATTCGTACCACAGACGACGAGCACGCACTACGTCAATATTAGTTTCAACGACGACAACGTGCCAGGTTTGGAGACAAAATTTTTTAAATAGAAATTTAAAGAATATTATTTTCTAATAGGTGAAGAAAAAATGTTACATATATAATTTAATTATATCACAGGAAGTCCATTTAAATGTCCCGTGATTAGCGGTATGTTGCATGGTCCATCGATGGTTCGAGTCGGCAACACAGCTTACATAGATCTAGACATGTCCGATTTGAATGGACCCGTGTCCGCAGAAATTACCGGTAAATCATTTCACATCAAAAATTACAAATCACAATCGCAATTATTGTATTGCTGAGATTCGGTTTCAAATAAATGCACTTTTTTTTTTTTATTCAGGTCCAGACGGAATAATTATTCCGTGCACGTTGACGAAACTGTCGTCCAGCTTGTACCGCGTAGAAGTTCGAACACGACAGGTGGGAACTTACGGGATAATATTTAACGACGGACACAAGATAGTCAGTTCGCAAACGCTTCAAGCTTTCGATCCCGGTAAGGTGTCCATCAAAGAAATCGCCGATGCGATTTGTCATCGACCTGCGACCATTTTAGGTAACCATTATAAATTTCAATTCTACAAACTTCAATTCTACGCTTAATCGTTGAGCATTGATTTCTCCTTGCACGAGACAGCGAATTGAAAATACAAATAGAATTCTGTGTACTTTTGTTGCTTAGTCGTCGCGTCGAAAGAAGCTGGTCCTGGGAAATTATCGGTCAACGTGCGAGCCGGTGGTGCGGACGTGGACAGTATAGTGAGGGAAGGAGACAAAGGCGTCTACGAGATCGTGTTCCATCCGACACGCGCCGCGCCTCACAAAGTTCACATCAAATATAACGAAGTTCATATTCCTGGTACAGAAAATACGTCTATCAGAGAATTATATTGAGATGTTGTGTTAATCCGTAAAAAAAACTTTAAATATGTTATGTGTTTATCATTAATTTCTTTATTTTAGGAAGTCCATTGGACGTGACGGTGCGCGGTCCTACTGGAGGACGGGAGGTAACGGCGACGGGATTGGGTCTGTATCAGTCGTGCGTCGGAAAAGTGACATCTTTCACGATCGAGACCCTCGGTCGTCCCGGTAAGGAGTTCGACGTGGTTATCAGCGGTCCGCAAGGTAACGCCGTACCCGTACGCTGTTACCAGCATCGCGATGGCAATCTACTTGCTGAATTCACGACGAACAGTGTCGGTGAGAGATAGTGAAAACAGTCTTTTTAACGGAATATCCTGTGAAAAATAAAACTGAATCATACATCCGGTACTTCGCACAGGTACGTACAAAATTGACGTGCTGCACGGAGCGAAACCGGTATTGGGATCGCCGTTCTTCTGCCAGGCCTTCGACGCTGCCAAGGTGAAGCTTCAGGAACTAGGTCCTACGACAATTTCAGTTCACGACCACATCGCTTTCAAACGTGAGTGTGATAATTAAACACGCAACGTGTGCGCATCTTCCTGCGCACCTGAGATCGTTTTCACGAGGCGAAGAAAGTGTCGGCGTGATCCAGATTCAGATGCGATACAATTGAAATCGAGTTATCCGGCTCGCAGTCAAAGAACCGTGTCAACTTGTACTAATCGCTCGAACGTAACACACACATCGCTCGAGTAAATGTATCGCACAAAATTGCATCCCACGCTTATATGTAAATCTGCGTTCGTGTGTGCACACAAGCGGGGAGAAAGTAGTGGCTTGCGTGTTTTCTAGTGCATCGTAGCTATGCAATATATTTCAAGGCCGCGCCTGGAATATAATCGCAACAGATAGCTCCGCAAGAAACGCAGACTACTTTCAAATCGCCTCGCTTTACGCGTCGGTGAGCAGTCGCGTTACACATCGCGACGTGATAACTTTGAAGAGCGGCGGTTTCTGTAAAAAGAAATTACGGATTATCATAATTCTTAGTGAAATTTGTGGCGCGTCGCGTTACAGTGATGAAAGCCGATGCCGGCATGGCCGATCTGGATGTGACGGCGACGAGCCCATCGGGTCAGGAGATTCCGCTTCAGGTGACCCCGCTTAACGACGGCGCTGAGATGATCGAGTTCTCACCAAGCGTACCCGGCACCTACATGATCAACGTTACTTACGGTAATTTATTTTTTCGACGTGAAAAGTTCTTATTTCTCACTCGCGAAAACAAACTTGTATTTTTTTTTTTTTTTTTTTTTTTTATGTTATATCTATCGGCGACGCACACAGGCGGATGTTCCGTGCCTGGAAGTCCGATGGTATGCACCGTCGATGCAGCCGGACAAGCCCGTGCGAAAGGTGAGGGATTGCTGAGCGGTCATGTGGGCAAACCGGCACACTTCATCGTAACCGGTACGAGAAGTCCTCCAGCGGTTCAGGTATTTTATTGTGTATGACGCAATAAAGAAAGTTGCAACAACACAGATGATTTGATTTATTAAAATGCGTAGGGTGTGTGTGGGAATGTTTTTATTTAATTATAAGCGCGCGCTATATAAAAATACACACAGGTGGACGGGCCGGACAGCGTAGCCAAGGCTACTATTGAGGCCGGTGCTAATCCAGGTACGTGGAACGTGTCCTACGTGCCGACCGAAGTCGGTGTGTTCGACGTGAGAGTTGTTTCCGCGGGACAGCAGCTACCGGGATCTCCGTGGCACCCGAAGATCGTCGACACGCGAAATCTTCGTGTTATCGGTAAATGATTAAAAGTGTTTTGTAAAACTATTTTTTAAATATCGGAATATTATTTCTATTGTAATTACAATACTAATATATTTGCGACAATTCATATATAGGGGGATGGTCCGCGGTATGCGACGACATTGGTCGATTGAAGCTGCATCCTTCGAATAAGATCAGCTTCGACACCGCGGAGGCCGGACCCGGCGAGATCACTGGAACAATCGGCGATCATCCTCTCACTTTCGAAATGACATCCAACAACAGGCTGAAACTCGTCCCGCCGCAAATAAGCAGCGGCGAACATCGTTTGGAAATATTATTTAACGGCGTACCATTTCCCGGCGCACCAAAACTTGCGATTGTGCAGGATATGGAGGTTTTTTTTTTTTTAGAGCAATTAAATTTTGATTTTTTATATTCGCGTTATGTAGTGCAATTGTTACTTATTTGTTTGTTTGTTTAGCCGCCGGTGCAGGACACAAGTCGAGTGTTGCTGAAGGGACGAGGGCTGACATCGGCCAAGTGCGGCGAAGAAGTCAGTTTTACCATAGACGGTTCTCAAGCTGGCAACGGAACGCCAAAAGTACAATTATTCTCGCCTACTAGCGAACTTAACGTTATGTTACAACATTTGGGTAAGAAGAAAGAATTTTACTCCGAACAATTTTAATCTTGTTTGCGAAAAAAAAAATCAAACAATTCTATTATTTTCTTTTATTTTTTCTACGAAATAATGCAGGTGACAGCGTTTATCGCGCGAGTTATATACCATTAACGCCGGATCCGCTTCTGATGACTGTGTCGTGGAACGGAAGACAGTTGAAAGGCTGTCCCTTGCAAATTAACGTCACGAGCGCTGCCGATGCGTCCAGAGTTGTCTGTTCTGGGGATGGACTAAAACACGGAATCGTCGGGCAAGAGATCAGAAGTTTTATCGATACCAGACGCGCTGGACCAGGTAAATGACTATTTTCTGTTCAAATTAAAATTGAATTATATTTGTTTCTTTGGAAGAAATACTTTTTTCACATTAGCGATTTATTTTATTCGCGCAGGCGAATTAACGGCTCACTGCGTCGGGCCGCACAAAGTGGCGTACTGCGAATTATACGATCATGGCGACGCCACGTTTACATTGAACGTGAAACCTCAAGAAGCTGGACGACACGCACTTACGATTAAATATGCCGGGGAACATGTTCCCGGCTCGCCGTTTACATTACGCGTATCCGGAGCTCCGGACGCTTCAAAGGTAATTTGAACGTGAAATTACGTCAGAATTACCTTAAAAAGATTTAGAATTAAATTTAATTGACAACGTAAAACGCTCAGGTACGCGTTTACGGGCCAGGAATCGAACACGGTGTGTTGGCGACCTTCCAGTCGCGATTCATCTGCGACACGCGAGGCGCTGGCGCTGGTCAGCTGACGGTGAGAGTACGCGGTCCTAAGGGAGCGTTCAGGGTTGAGATGCAACGGGAGACTCAAAAAGACCGAATTATTCTTTGTCGATACGATCCGACAGAACCCGGAGATTACAGAGTGGAGGTTCGCTGGGCGGGTGTTCTGGTGCCCGGTTCCCCGTTCCCCGTTAAAATTGTCGACACGCAGGACGAATTATTAATGCTCACGCAGGTATAAAAATAATCATTTGAAATCTATATATTTAAAACTATTTTTGATCGCCTGGAATATAAGTGAAATGTAACATATAATATACATGTTTAATTAAATTTTATTATAAAAACATATATATACAATATATATACACATTGTATATAATAGCGTATGTTTTGAATAAGTGTGTAAGTTTTGAACAAATACATTTCACTACTTTAATTGAGCGATCGAGATACTTAAAAAAAAAGTAGTACTATATAACGCGTACTGAACGATATGTTGCAGGGTGGAGATAATTATTCAACAGGCCATCATACTATCACATCGTGGCGTGGATCGCAAGCTATATTGTAGAAACGCCGCGGCTAAATAACATTGTTATTATTTTGTGTGAACTAATATATTTGATAATATATGATTATTGTAACTTATACGTGCGTTTCCACACACAATAAAAACTTAACATTTCAGTAAAAACTCATTCTCTCCTCAACGCACTTGTCATTTTATATATATTGTTGTATTTTTTACATATAAAAGTTATATCAATATTTACATTTTGACTTAATTATTTGTAATAATATTTTAATCGACTTCGGAATATTTACCTCAAAAAAAAAGTCTCATCGATTGTTCTTCTTCTCCGATTTGCTCAAGTTTCTACATAATTCTTTCTTCACCTGTTTCTGCTTCTTCAATTTCTTAGCTTCCTCTTCCGCGATTCGCGCCTGATACGCCGTTATCCTCTTCGTCATGGCCGCCTTTTCTTGCTTCTGCTTGTGCGCGTAAACCGTTCTGATCATCTTCATCATACGAGCAATGTTGTGCTCTTGAGGTTCGCGCACCACGGCGACTCTGCTCTGCTTGAATTTGGATTTACGTAAGTGCGGTAAAGTTTGAAGCTTAGGCTTATCTCTATACGGAAGCTCTTTCTGTAATTTTCTTGGAATATACAGCGGCCGGAACACCTTCGCTTCTCGCTCAATTGGCGTGTACATCGAATCCGTGTTGGCCACGTTATGAATACTCATCTCACGTTTCAGTTGGCCTGTGGTCTTCATACCACGCCAGTGATTCTTCTCCGCGGGCGGCAGCAGCAACGACGTCACCGGGTTGTAGAAACGCGGCACGTCTACCTTGTACCACGTTCGACAGAACACTATGTCGCTCAGCATTATTTTGTCCTCGAATGTGGCGCGGAAACAGCCTTCCGGTTTGGAAACCGCTTTTTTGATTTGACCGCGAATACCCGAAACCGTTTTGATTCGAGCGCCCTCAAACTTCGCGACCTCGAGCGCGGTGTTGAACATGTCCTTGATAAACGCGGTCTTACGATAGATCTTCATGGGAACACCGGTGAGTTTGAGCTTCTTCACTACTTGCGTGCTCTTATCGAGTTCTACGATAGAGCCGGTCGCGGCTATGCGGAAACCGGGTTCTCTACTTGCGACGTCTTGTATCGCTAGCACGCCAGTACCCTGAGGAGTGATCGGGCCCCAAAAATGACCCACGCACGCCACGTGCTCCGGTGTGTACTTTAACATTCGATGACGCAAATTGTCTTCCAGCTTGGAGTAGATCGGTAGCGACTGAAATCTACGCCAACCTATGGAGAAGATAAGTGGATCGCGACTCTTTAAGATCCGCGAATACCACCGATGCTTCTTGATTCGCGTCTGCACGTAACCGATGTTTTCTTCACCGTGCAACAGGCCGCCGATGATGATCGGATACGTCGGATCTAGATTCATTATCAACTCACACGGCACCGCTTCTATTTCCACGCGCACATACATGCCAGGACGATAGCCTTCCAGCTGGACTCTAACATCATCGTCTAGTCCCTCGAACTCGGTCTTGTTGATGCCCGCTTGCTTTTCCACCTCGGCCCTAAGCTCATCATAGTATGTCTTTTTCTCCGAGTCGTCATATTCTGCATCAAATTGCTCCTTTAGCTTCTTCTTCTTTTCCAAAAGTTTCTTCTTCTCTTCCGTCTCGTCCGTCGGTAAATCCTTAGAAGCTGCATTCTCTGCCTTGTGTGTCTCGCCGGTTTCCAAATCCTCAAAATCGCCGTACAATTCTTCGTCATCCAGTTTCAAGAGCTCCTCGGCGTCTTCCGATTCTTTCCATTTACCTGTCACGAAACGATTGATCAACAGTGTCTTGTTTTCCTCCTCCAACCAATCACGCGGATTCTCCGTCGTAAAGAAAACTGACTCTTCCTGATTCTGCAATTCTCGTTCGTATATCTTTTGTTTTTGTTGCGCGCTGACTACTCGAAATATCCCGCCTACATCCTCGCCAGGTTCCTCGTCTTCCTTTTTGGTTTCTTCTGTAATGTTATTCCTGTCGAATACGCCGTAAACTATTTTCATTAGATTTTTGTTGTTTTGTTGGCGATTGATGAACATCTCTCTCGCTTTCTCAGATAAATTTCTTTTCCATTTTAACTCATCCGCAATTTCTTCTCCACTCTCGTACATCTCACTATCTTTCATTTCATCATCTTCTTCTTCTTCTTCTTCTTCATTTTCGTTTTTGCTTCTGATCATTTCATTATCATCATCATCGTCATTATCTTCTTCTTCGTCGTCGTTTGTATCTTCCTCCAAATCGCTGATCTGATCTGCATCGTCTTTCTCTAAAGCCGTGCGCGAGTCTTCATCGCTGAGCTCATCAAAACTCTCGTCATCATCACTGTCCTGTTTCATAGTCTTCTTTGCTTCCAGAAAATTCAATGCTTCTGAGATTTTATTTTGTATTAATTTATCTGATTCTTTACTCAGGGAATGATATACTGCTACATCATTTCTTTCAGAAATATTTTTCTTTTTATCGTTCGTTAAGCTAGACTCATCGAAATCATCATCTTCATTATTTTCAATAGTTAAATTGGCCGAAGTTTTTAGTTTTTTCATTTTTACGTTATCCTCTTGCTTAGATCCAATTTTTCTTTTACTGCTCGTTTTAGTGCCATTAAGTTTTTCCGTAACTTCACTATCGGATTCCTCATCTTCGTCAGTTTCGTCATCACTAGCGTCCAGAATACTTTCAGATTCTGTTTTAACGTCATTAAGGTTTTCCGAAACTTCCTCATCGTTAGATTCTACATCTTCGTCAGTTTCATTATCATCATCATCATCGTTCAGAACATTTTTAAATTCTGTTTCTTCATTAAATATCACTCTACGTCTAATTCTCCCATTCTCCGTCACCAATTCACTCGTATAGTTTGCCATATTTTCGTTTACGTCTTCCGATTTTATCGGCGCAGCGTCGCTAAACAGCTGCAATTCGCTGTGCTGCAATTTCTGATCTAATGTCTCTTGCGTCTCCATTAACGCACTAGTCAGTCCTGAATCTTCCTGTTTGTACGAATGACTGCCACCTAGTTCTACATAAACGGCATCCTTGTCGTAAACTATACCACCAACGCCAGAAAATGGTGCGTAAATCAGTCGTTCTTTTTCTACTAAGGCACGCTTTTTTATCTGCTCCGGAAGTGGACACGGATCCGGCAGAAAGTTTACATCCTTGAGTTTCATATCCCCACAGCCAGGTATGTGAACAGACGATTCCTTGTTCAATGGAATTCCTCTAACGTATCTGAAAATTGAAATGCATCAAGGATTCAAATTAATTTATTAATTTAAGATAATATAGAGAAAAAGAGATCTTAAAATAAAAATACATAGGCAATAAAAATCTATATATTTTACCCGTATAAACTGATTGTTCTGTCAACCTTTGGATTTTGTCTAATTAATTCGGGAGATGTCAGATCTTCTATTCTATCGGCAAGTATGTAAGGATGAGTGGTACGCCAGGTCAATGGTCTGAACTTCATGATCGAAATAAATCGTGCTAAATTTTTTATTTCCGTACGAAGGTACTCTTCGTGCAGCAATCCAGAGAGATAAAACAGTTTTGCGCCAGCATACACCTCCGTCCAAAAGCGATGCTTAAGCGTCTTCTTAATTTTTCTCATTTGTTTTGCGTTCTTTATCAGATCTAGATGAGTGAGCACCCCCATAATTCTGGGCATGCCGTGCACCTGACATATATTTAGGAACTCGAAGATCTCCATTTCGAATCCGAAAGAAGCGTCCACCAGAAGCAACACCAAATCCGTAACTTTCGCAATGTCGATCATGCTGTTCACGTCGTTGTTGCATTCAATAAAGGTAATCCTTCGTTTTTTCCCGGAAACAACGGTAACCGGACCGAGTATGTTGGTCAACGGCTGCTTGACGTAACTTTTGATCAGGCATTGAATTACCAACGATTTTCCCACTTTCGGAGGACCTACCACAGCGACCAAAATTGGCGGTGGCTCCAACGGTGTTCTGTCGACCAGCGGTATGTGTTGCTTCTTGGTTTCAATATCCTGTTTGCGTCTGAACTTTCTTTCCGCTTTGATCGCAGAGTTGAACGTAAATGCTTTCGGATTCTTCTGCTTATCCGGCAATTCATCTTGCCTTCTCTTTTTAGCGTTCTTCTTTTCCGCCTTACGGCCAGCATTCCGCTCTCTGTGACTTTTGTGCTTTACCGTGTCTCCTTCCTGATTACTCGCGTCCATAATTCTAAACGCACTTGCATACAGAAATAAAACAGAATTACACAAAAAAAAATTTCGGATCAATCGCGCGCGTCCCGCGACATCCACGTGTTACGTTACCTTTAAGGGTTATGTGACGAGCGGTCACGTGAGGTTATAATAGCTTCTTCTTCTTTGCTTCTATGGCGCACGCTCCTGCACGTGAGGAGCAAAAGCCAGTCTGAGAAGGTTATAATAGCGCCATCACGCACATTCATCAGAAGCATGAGAGCGGCTATTCCATTGTATTTTTTACGATGCTGGTTTCAGCGCCACAAAAGAAAATATAAGAACTACGGAGCGACGTTTACCTTTTAGGCATATAGACGAAACAAATGTCACTCGGTTTGAATCCGGACTACATCCACTTTCAGGTGTATTATAATAATAATAATCAAATCACGACGCGCGCGCGCGCGCGCGCGAATCTGCTGACACACATTTATAAAATTAAAATGTTAAGAACAATTAGTGAAAGAAAAAATCTCTGTTCCTATTTTTATTCGAATATATACATCTCTATACAAAAAATCTGAAAAATGTCGAAAATTGTACGAAACTTTCGAAAAATAAAATACAAATTCTCAAAATTGAAAGAAATGTTTAAAGCCCGAAAATCTTTCTAAAACCTAATCAGAAACTGTGTAGAACCGTTTCTCGCGCGTATAAAACTGGTAAGTATCAGAACTTCGAAAATGTTGCGCCAGATCTTCAAAATTTCAAAGTCAAAGAGAAACTCAGCGACTACCACGCAGAAGCGTGTATCTCATTTCAACCAGTTAAATTGCATCGACGGATGTATAACGAGTCCGCATGGACCCTTTATAGAAGCGAACAATGCGATACATGACGATTGGAAAGTCATCGATCACGTATCCTAATCCGCTTGGTACTGCATGATATTGTAAAATTTGAGACAATGATTGATCGCTTTTGAATTCCCACGAGACGACACAGCCAAAGGTTGATTGCAATGGCTGATCAATGTACTTCGCGCTTGATGTCTGTGGCATCCATCAAGAATCAATATAACACAATGTAATTGCGATAATGAAATAAGCAAAAAATTATACTAAGCAAAAAATATATTATAAGTAAATAAAATATCGTTTCTTAATAACGTGCATGTGTGGAACATAAGTTCCGTTATATGGCAATTGTAATATATTTAAATTAAAAGAGTGAATAAACACATATTCGTGTAAGTTGAAAGGGTCTGTTGCTAGAATCTTATTGTAATGCGCCGAAAAAATTTAGAGAAGTTTCTCTTAATGAACCCCGCTCTTGTCCGGTTCGTGCAATGCGGTTTCGGTCTGTCAAGTAGGACTGACAGCTGTCACATCTCAAAATCGCTGTTGAAAAAATTGTTTAATATACGAGCGCGCGCATTGCGCTACGCACTTGTTCCCAATTGAACTGCTCTGGACCGCGGCGAATCGCTATACGACAATTGAGGGCGACTTTCAAATGGGGATGTAATTTTATAGGGTGCGCGCGTATTCCCGATACGCACATTTAAATTCAATCCGCAGCACTCAAGCTAAGTGCGCCGTGCTATTTTCCCCGAATGCACTTTTTTTTTTACTATGAGTCTTCTTATTGCGGTGGGAATCGAAAAGTAACTTAAATCGGAAACCGCAAATTGGTCACTCGATATACTTGATTGCCTCACGCAATAAAAAAAAGTTTCACAACACATTAAACACATCATACGTGACATTATTGTAATAATGTAATATAGCAAACACATGTGTGTGTAATAATGCAATAATCAACACAATTAATTCGATGTAATGTTGTTAAAGAGGACTGACTTTCTGCGGGGTGAAATCAATCTAAGAAGAGAGACACAGAGAGAGAGAGAGAGAGAGAGAAGCGCACAGATGGTCCTAAAATTTGTGATTTGGTAAAATCTGGAAACGTCTGTCCACTTGTATGTTCTCGTATTTTTGAGATAAACGTTTTTTCTTTCAATTCTTTCTTACCTCCATGTTATTTAAATTTTTCAAAAAATTCTTTGAAATTCCGTTGTATATCATCTCTTAAATTAGAAGAGTCACAAGAATGCAAATATACATTTTGTCAAAATTATATATGTGTAAAAACAGAAATAAAATAATAAATAAGTGTAATAATAAAATTACATACGCAAAATTATGACAAAACAAATATAATACGTATTTTATGATGACATTATACGCATGTGAGATGCGGCATCGAGTCATCGCGACAAATTTACGAGGGCAAACACAGCGTGCGAGCGAGCGAGCGAACGAGCGGAGTCGGGGCAATAATGCAACGCGTTATAATTGATGTGCCGCTTGATCGTCATCTTCGTAACGTGATCGGTGATAAATTCATATATTTCCGATCGGCCGCGTCATGTTCGCGGCGGCCAACAAATCGTAAAGCAATCGACATGCGGACCGCTCGGGCTCGCTTATGCGCGTGCAACACGCGGAACAATGTCTGCCAATTATCGGACGATTGTCGCCGCCAACTGTCGGTGCGCTGGTCAAGTCGTCGGTTGATCGGGGGAGTGACTGACCATTGCTTTGGCCGATACGTCGTTAACTTTTGTAGGATGGGAAACCCGGCACGTCCATCCGGCACGCCTCGTTTCCGCGAGACGCAAGATGCGAAACACGCGCACACATATCGCATCTTTGCCACTAGAACTACTAAAAGAAATGGAAAGAAATAAAAAAAAACGACGAATTTGTTTACATTGTTTTAATAAAAATAATCGGAAAGCAAAGAAATGGAAATGACAGAGAGAACTTCGGGCGAGATTGCAAAAATCCTGATATATTGGAATCACAAATGGTGAAAGCAAATGTATATCGCGCAATATAGTCTTCTTCGTTGTCAATCGCGCGGTTTTGTGTTTTTCTAAGAACACATATTCGTTCGTTTGTCTGCCGTGGTACGAGCCACGAATACGTAATTTTATGCGTGTTTGCTTTACGCATGGGGTACGTTCGCTTATGGCGGCATCGGAGCGGAGGTGTCCTTAGCCCTCCCTGTTCGCGTTGTTTGTCCAGAAGATGGACTGACCAGCGGCTAAATCCATTCGACATCGGAGCGTATATATGCATGATTGAAACGAAATTATGAATAAATATTTGCTAAAAGAAAGTGCCAGACGAGTGGACTTTCGGGATCGCGCGAAGTATCTCTACCCGCGGTCTGACAATTCTCTCGAAATTGCGAGAGCAAATCTTGACTACGCGTCAAGTTCTTTTTTTTTCTTTTTTTTTTATTCACATATTTAGTGTGAAAAAAAAAATTTGTGGTGTTTTCTTAAAAAATATCTTTACTTAAGTCTTTAGATATTAATTGAAGTAAATCGAGAAAAAAACTCGCGTTTCTCTTTCTTCAAAAATAATAATTTTATAGGCAACGAAAAGATATCGAACAAATGTACGGTATACAGTATATACTATTGCTTGCTCTCTTGAAATATTACAATATGCATTTTTTGGAGCGCATGTGTACATGCAAACACTTCGATTTGCGCCACGTGTCTTCACGTGCGGAGAGTCGCGTGCGGACCGGAAGTCGGAGCCGGATACTTTGGGCCCCATAGTACGGAACGGTGTAAGTCATTGATATAAGTAACCTGCACAATGCTTAATGACTCGATGACTCAGACACAGCGTCCCTTTTCTCAAATCGGAACTTTCTTGAACACAGACGGAACAAGCAAAAGTGCTTCCCGTGTATCGATTGACTTGGCACAACAAATTTATCCGCAATGCTGCAAAACACATTTCGAATTTTCACCAGTGTGAAAACGCGGAAATGAGACAGACTTTGCAATGTAACTTAACGGTTAGAGAAGTTGTTACATTTTACATTTTTGAAAAGAAATAATAATAATATCAGATTCATTTCTTGTGTGTTTTTCTCTGACACGAGAAATTACATTTATATTTAACCCTCAACGGACATGGGTCGTTTTCGTCTGGAGCAAAATTACTTTCTGAAGAAAGTAATTTTCTTGTCATATTTGCTAAAAATTATGAACTAAAACTTTTTTTTTCACTAAATTTAATAATGGTGTCTTAAAATAGACAGTTTAAAGAGTATGTACACACATTGTGTGTATTTCAGATTTTTTAAGAAATATTTAATATTTTTAAAAACCCCAAGACGAAAACGACCCATGTCCGGCGAATTAAGGTGCCGAAAAACACGCCGTCCGTTGAGGCTTAAATAAATTCTACCTGTGTACGGGGAAAGAAGAAGAGAACGCGTTTGCAATTCACAAAGCAAATTCTATAAAACTCGAGTGATCTCTTATCTAATTGCAAGAGCCATCAAGAATAAGATCCGCGAAAGGAAGATATTACATAGGTAATGCGGAATTGCGAGGTGGATTGTGAATTTGCAGCGATGAAGAACGGTCGAACGGCAACGCGCAAAAAAGCGGGCACGCGATCCATTTCATACTCTTCCCTCTTTCTTTTACGCCTGCTCTCTCTCCTTCTTGTTCTCGCCCTTGATCGCACGATGACGTGTGTTGGACGTGTTGTTGCACGCGACGCGGTACGACGTCTCGTGATACGCGCGCGTTGGCACCCGCTGCGATCGCCGTTGTGCCGTTTTCATTGCCCGCCGCGTAATCGAGAGATCACCTCTCAATAATGTCAAAAAAAAAAAGAAGCAAACCCTTACGTTCTTCGAGTGTCGCGTACATATAAACTCTCGTGATTAATGTCTATTTAACGATAAACGTCTCTAAAAAATAAAAACAAAACTCTTATTGCCGATATAACTTTGATCTGATGTAATTATGAGTAATTTTCATGTAATATTAAAAAAATCGAAGTTCTCAGTTACTTAATTAAATCGCGTTACTAGCTAATAAAAATTAATTAATTAATACACTATTACCGCGAAAAAAAAAAGAAACTTAAGAAACTCTGCTCGTCGCTTATCACAACATTTATCGATTTGTCTCAGATTGCGAGACTAACGTGTAGACTCGAATTAACCGAAAATAATTTCGCGCAAATTTCCATTTGTTACCGTACAATTTTTATAACATCCACGTTGCTTGGGTTTTTTAAGCAAACAATTTTTATTATCAATTTGCTCACTCATTTCACGTCGCGTAATCGCGCTCGGTCGATCGCCGCTAAAAAGTTAACGATACGATTAGTCAGCTCCGTTCCCAGACGCCGATAATCATGCGAGCGCGTGCCGCGTACGATTCCTGTGTGAACTTTATCGTGATCGCCCCCCTTCTCCTGTGTGTGCGAACGACCCCCTTCAATCCGCTCTTCCACACACACTCCCGTCACACGCGTAAACGTCTCCGTGATGTACTACGCACGAGCGTGCGAACGCTGAGGGGATAAAGAGGACGACGAAGTAGTAGCTCTCGCGAGGGTGGCACCAAGTGATTTCATGGTGGCGCGCGAGATATTTCGAGCGATTAACCGTCTTATCGAGATATTCAATTTTATTACTCGTGTTTTTTCTAGCTAATAAAAATATGATTTCCTATTTATACATCAGAGTTTAAAACTAAACTTCTCAATTAAGTATAATTTTAACTTTTATAACAGTTGATAAACTTGCAGCAAGAAAATCTTAATACATGTGTAATAGAAAAAACAAAAAAAAAACAAAACATTTTTTACAAATAAACATTTTTTTCTGCGAGAAAAAGTATCGAAAGTCTCAAAGACGCCGCGTTAATGTATGTTAAATATTGAAACAAATTGTTTTTTTGTTTTTCATATCACGTCATATGCGTTATAATAACAAAATTAATAACGTCGGTTAGACGAGAAGGGTTTACGTGAGACTGGAAAAGGCAGCTTCCGGCTTTTTTCTCCTCGCACATCCGCTCGGTCGGGCGACCGTCAGCGGTGAGAAGATCGCGCTTCCTCCTCGGTCTCCTTGACCGAGTGCAACGCAGGATCCGAGAACGGCGGTCGCACAATCAAGGGTCCACGCTCGCACGCACGCACATACGCACGTACGTACGCACGCTCGCACACGAGTCGTCGTACGTTCCCACGAAAGTCGCCCATCTGATTTTCGAAGTAAAATCCCCTCTTCGACGTCGACGGCGACGACAACCCTCTCCGACTCTCTCTTTTTCTCTCTTGCGAGAATCGCTAGATCGGGGTTGCTTTTCAAACCTCCTCAGGGCCCCGTCAATGTCCCCTCCACTCTTCATCCCGAGGACGCACACCTTCGAACATCCCCCCACCCGGTTCGCCGGTACACCACGCGGTCGTGTGTCGTCCCTGCGTCCTCCCGCACACGACATACGTCGGCCGCCACGCGACCAGTGCACACGCACGTTCTGCAGTATCAGCAGCAGCAGCAGCAACAGCAACGGCAGCACCCGATAGCGCGTCCAGTCGCGCGCGCGACTTCTTCTTCCACGAGCACGCACGCGACCGCAAATGTCATCGCGGGTAACCGCGGCACGTGAGCACCGATAAACCTCTCCCGCCATCGCGGAACAAGTGCGCCGACCGATTGCTCCTTTCGTGCTTCTGAGAGACCCACTTCACAATTTCGCGAAACGTCGTCAATAAGTTTTAATTCGTGAAGAGACAAATTTGTCTTGATTTGCCGACTACGTTTAAAAAGTGGAAATTGCTCGATTTGTTCATACTTATCAATTGTCGCGTGTTGAAAGACGGGACCGTCGAAGATCGAAGGGAGTTTTCAGAATTTTGTGAATTTGTTTTACAAAAAAAAATGTTTTATTCGTCTTCGAAACTTAGTTGCTCAGTGAAAGCTGATTTACGCACTTCGATGAAGACTGTGTGAAAATTTGAATTTACATCGCCTTATATTTGCGAATTTTTTAATCAACAGAAAGTGACTGTGACTCTCTTGTTTTGTTTAAAAAAAAAATAAAAAAAACAGGATCAAGGACTATTGTATTCATCTGATGAAACGATTTTATCATCTGCGAGTTTCGTGTGATCGTGCAATGTTTAATTAAAAGTCTCCGCGGGGTAGCAATGGTATCTCGTCTGTTTGTCGTTATGAAATTGATATTACGCTCGGGACGGTAGCCGGCGAACGATCGTGACCGGCGTAAAGTCGTTCGCAGCATCGGCTCGGATCACAATACTTTCACATTCACCACCGAACTTCTTCCAAACTGACGCGGGACATGTGGCGAGTAGTGGTCGCGCGTTCCGACGACAACAGCACTCTGTTGTCGTCCGAGATCACTTCCAGCGCGGTCGCGCCCAGTCACCTGTCCACGCATTTGTCGGCGCCGCCGGCGGGTCATCATTGGGGTTATCCGCCGCCACCGCCGCCGCATCATCCGTCTCCCTATCAGCATCCACCGACGCAGCACCCGGACATGCGTCATCATCATCACGACATGCGTCCGCCCGCTCCTCACGAGCTACGTCACGCCGCCGTGTCTTCTGGAGACCTGCGGGGTCCGGAACTGAGACATCCCGAGATGCAGAGACATCAGGAAGTGCAGAGACACGACCTCGCCAGGCACCAGGATGTCAGACATCAAGAGATGCCCGGCATGAGATCGGACATGTCGGAGTTACGGTCCAATCACGAATTTCTGGAGTTGAAAATCGAGACGGATTTGAGAAGTCAGGACAGTGGTCAGCAACAGCAGCAACCGCCGCAACAGACTCAGGGACATCAACAAAGGAGTCTGAAGAGAACCATGAGCGATTCCGATTGCGACGACGTGTTCTCGGAAGAGAGCGGCAAGGAACCGTAAGTATAATGTGTCATCCTGTGTGTTTTGCAAACCTGTCTTGTGAAAACGCGTTTGCACGATGTACCAGCCTCCAAAGTTGGAACAATTAAATAATTCAACTCGTGTGTCATAAAATAATTTTTCAACAGTCACATTCTTAAAAACACAACTTGGTGTTTTTGCTGCGCAGGAATAACATGTTTCTTAGACTGGCAATTTTTATGTGTGATAATCTTTATAAGAGTTAGAGCGATAGAATAATCAAACTTTTCTCAAACAACGTAAGAGTTTCTTCAATGTTTCTTTTACAAATCGTTTTTTTTTTTTTTTTTTTTTTTTTTAATTTCAGTCGCTTACCGACGTGACATATGTCTCTTTGTTCCACGATAGAGTCGTAATTAAAGTCGCATTGTTTTAGCGCGGTCGAAATTAAACGAGCGAGTTGTTGCGCGCGGCGCGACGTGAATTAATTAAAAACAATATTTAATTAAACATTCAGTCCAGTTAGAACGGTAACTGCGATATCCCAAAGAACAAAGAGAGTTACGGAATGTCTTGCAATCTTAACCCTTCGTTCTTGTTGCAGATGCAATTCGCCCGGGGGGGACTCCTGTCAGCAAGCGTCGCGAAAACGCAGGAGAGGGATGATCGAAAAGAAGCGCCGCGACAGGATCAACGCGTCCCTCGGTGAGCTGAGGAGGCTGGTGCCGGCAGCCGCGAGGGATCCTCACAGCGGCAAGCTGGAGAAAGCGGAAATCCTGCAGCTCACCGTCGAGCATCTGCGCACGCTTCGTAATAAGGGTAAGTTCGATACTTTTTTTTTTTCAACCCTTCTTCGAGCTGTTTATTCAAATTAAATTGTGCGCGTCACACAAGAGGTGCAATTTCATCAATGCGTTTAATACACCACAGCCTTTCTTATAAATTTCTTAATTTTAAAAACAATGTTCAAACAATGTTCAATTTGTCAAACAGATTCTTAATTTTAATTAAAAAATCTCGAAGATTAATTCCAGTGAAGAATTTCAAAAGACTCGTAATGTTAGCAACAAAATTGATTTTAACTGCTATAGTTTATTTGTGTGTCGCACTATACGCCGTTACGATTATTTGAGAACCGTTTACCGCTTTACACGTAAGACCGGAAGTTGCGCAGGTCGAAAGAAGTAACGGTGCCGGGTAATAAGACTCCAGAATCCGGAAGAAACGCCTTTCCCCGTTGAATAAACAGCGGAACACGTAGTAGATTCTCGGGATCAATGAGATACCCTTTTTTTTTTGCTTTGAGATTGTGCATCGAGAATTAATACTTTATCCTTCCGACGAGAACGACGATTACGTCGATTTGAGTCTTACGCCATTATTGCATCTTTCTGGTGCTGCCTTCTGTGCTATCGGTCTTTTTTTTTTTTTTCACCGGAAGACACCTGTTGGGCGTACAACGCTAACTGTAATTGCGTAACCGAATGCCCATCTGTCGCCTCTGCGTTTCCTTATTAAGCAGATTCGAGAGCGATTATTGGCGTAGATTTTACACGAGATTTCTAAAATCAGTAGCTACAACATTTTATTCATGATTTTTTTTTCTAAAAACACTTTAATGAATTATTTGAATTATTTCTCTTTTTAACAGAAGTAAATAATTTGTTTCTATTATTTATCTATATTCTCAACGCCTCGTGTTTAGATATTCATCAGGTTTGTGACAATATCGTTTTCTCATCGTTGTGTGCGATCGGTACGCGATAAGACATTTTCGTAAAAGCGGCATCACAAACGCGACAAGGTGTCACGTAGTTTTCCCGTGAAGGCCGCACCATAAACGGGATCCTCGGTAAGCAGGTGCTGGACCGAGCGCGGAGATCCTGTGGGAAGCACAGGAAGTCAACGACTCTCGGGAAGTAGTGTTCCCACGATTGGTGGCGGGCAGACCCGGGGGTGAGGTGTGTTCCGCACGGCACCGCGCACCCCTCGCGAGGGAGGCGCTCGGCAGATCGGCCTGGGGCAGATGTCGAACCCTGTGGGAAACCAGCTAGCGCCCGGCGTGAAGCGTGTGCACGGACACGCACCACCACTAAAGCCGCGCTGTACGATTGTGCGCGTGAGCGGCTTCTTTTATTTGTAGACGAGCGAGGGGCGCGAGAGGACCATCCCCTCTTCCCCAAAAATGAGCGATATTAAATTTAATGTCATCAAATAAAAACTTCACGTGCAGAACTTTTTGCGCGTAATGTTAATTATGAAAATCGCTCTTCTTTTTGTTTACAACTCGAACGCCGAGCTTTGGCGGTCTCATTATTTTCTTATTAGTTTTATTTATCAAAAAAAAAAAACTACAGTAATTTTCTTTTATAAAAAAATTGTGTTCGCGCTTGTTTACTACACTCACGAGAGAACGTTTCTGAAAAACTCATTGATCTCTCGGTGTATGCACATGTTAGTTCCTGAGAGAGCACCTATGGTGTAAACACACAGGATATAAATATATCTTTTGTACGGATGTTTTCGAAGTTTCGAGACTACTTATCGAGTTTCAGAGATGATCAATCGCGCACGATTTGGCGTGTAGTACGCAATAGCTTTCCTCGTAAATGTTTGCACAGGGCGGTCTGAGAACTTGCATAATAACGTGGGACACTCCGCTTCGTTCATATGTACGCGTACGTGTGTGTGCGTATATCACGCATAAGACCGGGCTAGTCTCTATGGGGGTCTAAACGATTCCCACGCTACCTGTCCCATTCCACATATGCACAATAAAGTCGCCTGCTACCAAACCAAGGCGCCTGATCTCGCCACGGTGCACGTACGTCGGGCATTGTTGTGCCGCGAAAACCAAAAATGCACAAAGAGTCTCCGTCCGCAGATGCACTTCCACGTTGTCAATCTGCGGATCGCGTTTAACGCGATGCGGAAAAGTTTCGGTGATTATCTTCCACCTGCTTCTCTCTCTCTCTCTCTCTCTCTTACTATTTCTTTCTCAAAAAAAATATCACATTTCTCTGATGATAATCAATATTCCGAATAATAAACATAAAAAATTACTTTGTTCTATCTTGCTACATTAATATACACTTTTTAGCATACGTATTTTTAGTATTAATATGTAATGATACAACAGAGTTTAATAATTTTTTTTCAAATCACTTTACAAATCATCTCAATTTTCACGCAGAAAAAATTGTTGTATTCTCTTGCAAATCAATCTATAAATTTATTAAAAATTAGTAAGAACGAATATATATTCGTTTAGAGTTAAAAGTTACAAAGTTTACAATCAGTAGTTTTGAGATGAAAAATTTCGACAAACAATCGTTGTTATTGAAAAATTACACGTTTGGAAAATTTATAATTGCAGGACCGGAAGGTTACGACAGTACGAAGCTAGCTATGGATTATCACGCGGTTGGCTGGGGCGAATGCGCTGCAGAAGTGGGTCGCTATCTGGTGACCATGGAAGGCCTAGACGAACGGGATCCCCTTCGATTACGCCTGCTGTCGCACCTACAGAGTTTTCACCGCGAACATCCGCCGTCAGCCGTGCCGTCGGTTGTAGCACCTACGACGTTGACGTCTACCTCTTCTACCGTCAGTAGTTACGAACCACCACCGCCACCGCCTTCGAGCACAGTGTCGAGCGGAATGCCACCGGGTCCAGGAACTATGCCATCCCTACTCGGTGGCTGGGGCCAATATCCGGGTCAGTATCCCGGCCAGCAGCAGGGCAAACCTTATCGGCCATGGGGCGCGGAACTGGCGTACTGACCTTGATGTCTCGGCGCACAATCAGCGACGATCATAATTTGTCTCTGGTGCAAAAGTGATAAGCGACTGACAAAGTTTTAGAAATTTTTCAACAACTTGATGTTTTATATCAAGTATTTTCTGAATATTTTTTTACTTTTGACTAGCAATATTAACGTACCGTTTTTCTTATATCAGTGAAATAAAGAGAGAGAGGATTTATTTATCTAATAAAATATCTTTGGTTACGACAGAGTAGCGTTCGATTCTCACAAATCAATATCTACTAATTTAAATATGAATTGTAATATTTACAATTAGTAGATCATTTATTAGACGTACAAGCGGCGCGATTTTTTGCGCGCGTGCACAAAACGTAGTTTGTACAGTATTTTATAAATGTATCTCAGGAATTGTTTCATTGACCAAAACTGTACATCAATGTATTTTCTATGAGTGAGATAATGATAGTCATGCAAGAGAGTACCTAACGAAAAAAAAAAAAAGATATTTATTCATACAAAAAAATTGTACATAAATTGTATATAGACACAACGTGTAAATAACGTATGTTCGTAACTGTATCGCGTCTGTCAATGTGTACACATCGTTGTTTGTATATATCTCATTCGCTCTCTGTGCGATCGTCAATCGAACGATTGCGCGAGCGTGTAAAGTCCAACTCGAATAAAAAGAAAAAAATATATGAAAAAAAAAAAAAAAATAAAGTAACGATCGTCGCGTTCGAAACGTGCCATTACGCATTTAAATGCAAAGAGTGAAGTATGACTGTGAAAAGTTCAACCTATTTTTGCAATAAGATTTTGTAATAAAGCGATAGCAGTGAGAATACAAATAGAATACAGTTTGTACGTAATTTGCTCTATCGTGCACTTTCTTTCCTGAACTTTTCCTCCGCCAAAGTTCAATCAATAAATTTCCAAGAATCACGACGCTAATCGGGAATTCACGCGAATGTTAATCACACACGAAACAGAGTTTTCACACGTACGAGAGATAAGAATTGTTCTACATTCTTGCCGAACGTAACCGACGAGGTGGTTTCTTGACGCGCAGTAGCAAATCAGAGAGACAAACAATCAAAAATATCTCCTTATCAATCATTCGCAATTTAGAGAGACACTCAACGCGCGCAAACAAACATTTTTCGTGTTTGCGCGGAATCGCGTTGCGTAACGGAGAGCGTAATAGCGCGGACAAACCACGTCAAACATCCGTTCTATTACGCGCCAAACGTACGCGCAAACGAGTATATACGCTTTTGTGTTTTCATGTGTCTGTACGTACACGTCGTGCAAATTTACGAACGACGAAGAGCAAATTTCACATTCGGGGAGACGCGCGAACGAGTCGCGTTTTTTTTCTCTTCTTTCTCATGCAAAACCGCTTAATTGTCGCGGAATATTCCCGGATTCCGTGAAGAACAATGGGTCTTACGACCCCTTCCTTTTCTCGTATTATACTCGCAAACCGGTTTTGCGAGTCATTAGTTTTTGCAACACAGTTTCGCGCGCGCGACTTCTTTTTTCTTCTCTTTTCTTTTTCCTTTTTTTAACGAACTAGGACCAACAGCGATTACTAGTTGCCGGCTATTTTTGCTCGCGCGTACGTTTTCGCTGACGTACGCGTTACGAACGATGCGACAAAATCTAATTTTCGGGAATTATCGATACATATTGCGTGGGCACGTGCGCCCTATTGTTCGGGAGTGCTCGTTATGTACGTAAGTTTTTTTTTTCTTTCGAGTTGCACGCGCACATAATTGCCACAACGCGCCCACATAACGCGCCCCGACGTCTCGTCCAAAACTCCGAAGCCGCTTGTCAAAGTAATGATGCGGGGAGATCCTTTCTAGATCAGCGATGCAAACAGTGTGTAGTGTGTGTGATTTATGTTAAAATCATCAATAGACGTAAGTATAATCAGTACTTTTGGAAATTAATAAACGCACTTTTTTTTGGATAAATAGTTTATTTAATTTTAACTGTATATAATCACGTTATATATTTCTTAGAGAAATTAATATATTGTTAATTACTTTTTTAAATAAAAAAAGACTTTAATTGCAACACGATTTTTCAGGATTTCAAGATGTGAAATAAAAAACATTTGAAATATGTCCGCGGTTACCAAAAGTAATTTAAGAAGTAATAAAAAAAACATCGCAAAACTCATTAAGTATTTTACCTATCCTTAGTAGTTACTTACGAAAGAGAGAAAGAAAGAAAGAAAGCGGAAGAAAATAAAGAAGCGAGTCGGAAATAATCGTCTAAAGTAATAGACTACCTGTCGCAGAATGCTATAGGTCGACTTCATTACATGACCCCGCAAAATATTGTTCCATACGCGGTCGTTACACATAACAAGAAAATCGAGCGAATCGATATCATTACTAATTCAAACGAAGGACTTGCGCGCCTCTTACATATGTGATATCAATGCATATGGTTACTTCCACAACGTGTATGTCCTGCGTATGTATGTATGACGCCTTTGTACAAACATCGCGAGCGATCAATGAGACAGTGATGACAGGGGTCATGGGAACACATCGGAGATCGTCAATAAAACCATTTTATTTATGACACTCACGTCCGTTACAAAGTCACAGCCTTATCGAGACGCTTACGATAAAATATCTACACGCATCGCGCGCACCTACATATCCATATTTGTGATCTTCTTTTTCTTACACATAAATAAATTTTCTGCATCTATCCACAGAAACACAACATCATATACGTACATAGTTGTTGAAACTTTCTCCTCACAATCTGACACAAATCAATCAATAGGAAGAATAATTATGCAGTTTGCTACCTATTTCTTTTTTTTTTTTTGTTTTTAATTGAAGATTGACTCGAGCAAAGGTGCTGAAGAAACGATCGAATGTAGCAGAGGCTCGATTTCCGAGTGATTTCGGAGAAAACACAGATGCAATGTAGTTTCATTGCACAAATATTCTTGACAGTCAAGATTTTAAATAGATCATACCACAAATTTCCCACACTCTTATACAAATTGACTTTCAATTACCACTTGACGAAATGTAGCACACAATTGATTTTCAATCAAAATTTAATAAGCTTACCTACGGCGTGGGGAAGATAATTGTGTCAGCTAACTGATCTAACGGGTGCACCTTTCGACCGCGCAAAATATCGAACATCTAAGGACAATTTACGCCATTTAGCGCAAAATGATGATGACGATATCGAGTTAAAACGTCGATTCTTTCATTCATCGATAAATAGTAGAGAATTTGAAATGTTCTACGCGATAGTGTAATCAAATATATCTTACGCTTTGGTTCATCGACGTGGTATCAACGCGTCGACATATGTGCGTATTCGTGTGTCTCAGAAAGATATATGCGAGTGCACAAATATATACATATATGTATGTATATATAATATAAATTGATTTTTCAAAGAATTAAATAATATTATCTTTGTAGTTTTTAATTTTCTCGTCTCATCTCAATTCTTAATTTAATATTTTTAAATCTCTTTAGTTCTTACATATAATATATCGATTATAAATATAATTATCTGGACAAAGTGTAAAGTTTTTTTTGTGTACAATACACGTTTCGTACCAGCGAAAATAAATTATATCGACTACTACCTAAAATATTTCAAGATACCGAAACAGTATCTTGCACGAAATAGTGGTTCACGGGATTTAATCCCGATATATATATATATATATAT